TAACAAGTCAGTCTTAGGATTGATTATTATTTAATATTTCCTTAATGACCTAGGTGGAAAACAGAGGCGCCTGATAATTGAAATGTCTTGAAGTCACGTGGCTAAGAGGCATCATTGGTGCAGGGAACGTTCAGAATGCCACACAGCAAGAATCCAATGTCCTTGGTGAGGGAGGTGACAGCAGAACAACTCCTGCAGGAAACAGCAATGGCACAGAAGTGTTTGTCTTTGTCCTATATAGTGTGGACCAAAAGGGCTACTGAAACCCTACAGTGCAGTAGGAGAAATGCTAGCAATAAAGAAAGGGAGTATAAATGGCCCTGTATAGGACCCCAACGAAACTTTGTGACAATATGTGGTCCTGATCAGTTATGTTAAAGATGGATTCTTAGAGAAACCAGCGCAGAAAAGAACTGCTGAGATGACAGGAGACTCTTAGGGCATGAAAGTGACTGCTCGTTCAGCAGCAGAAGCCTGAGGTGAGAACTGATTGCTCTTTATTAACTCACTGGTAGGGGAAATACTAAAACAAGGGGGCATGAGAACAAGCGAGAATCAATTGCCACGAACAACTTGGGCAATCAATTTGGTGTTTTTCATTTACCTATCTGGTGAGGGTGTAAAAATTATAAGGACAAAAACATACCTGGTTTTAGCTCAGAAAATGTTTTACATGGATTATTTGATACAGCTGCCTGCAGTAACTGGGGATTGGATTTGATGACCTAGAAGTTCCTGCTGGGCCTATGCCATAGTGTATTCCTGTGTCTTAGTGAGTTTCTATTACCATGAGCTATCACCTCTCTCTTACATCAGAAATTGCAGTACTTACTAATCCCTCCAGTCCTAAGAAACCTTTCTGTCCTTCTGAATTAAATTTCAAATAGAACATCCTAACTGTGCACTGCAAAGCCATGCGTTTGTTTCCTGCCCAAGTAAGTTTGTTGTGGCTTTTATCATAAAAACTAATTTCTTTAGGGACTAAGGGCTCCTTGAATATGAACTGGAGTGTTTATGGCAAAACTTTACTAGCAAATAATAATTTTCTTATTTGTTGTAATTCTTTAAATGGCTCTCTTAATGAAATTTTTGGCCTCATGAAGTGATCAGCTTGGAATGACTTTCCCTCATAAGAAAATATTTAAATACAAACAAAGTGTGCTAATGTGTTCAGTTACAGTCATGCAGGGAACTAAAGGGATTATGTGTACTGGGAGTATATTCCTGCAGCTTTCCAGAACAGCTTCTTCTCCAGGGAATAAAGCAACCAGAAAACTCCCAAGGAGAGACTGCTATGGTAGGGATGGCTTGGGACAGGAGCATCAGAAAAGCGCAGTCGTGTTATTTCCATAAGCCCAAAACGCTGATAAAATAAATGCTGTAAATAAAAATGCATTAACAACATGCCGCTTTTCAAACTAATTGAGATGCAGCACGGAGATTGCTTTTCAGCAATACAATGTTCTTTATGCAGGAGATCATGCTGGGGCCTACTGCAACAAGAACCATTGGGATAATGCTGTTTTGTTCTAACATCTGCATTTATTAGCTTTGAGATACTTCATTGTGACATTATGAGGTGTAAAGCCCTCAAGAATTGAACACTGTTGTTGCATGAAAGAAACTCTTTGGCCAGCACCGGCCCTTAGGATTGAATCAGCAAAGGAGTATTTAAAACAGAAGCAAAAAAAATGGATATTCTGATAGTTTTTATGACCTTGCTCACGCTTCTGTTAGTGAGAAGAGTTCATCAGCAAGGAAAGCAATGTGTCTAGTGTTAATTTTCCTAACTTCCTATTAGTCATTCAAACTAAGAAGATAACCTTAGCTCTTGTGATCACGTTGTCCAAAATCTTTCAAATCAGATGCAAACCTTTTTCAGAGCACAGAGCTGTTAGAATATCATGAGCTCCTAGCCTGCACTGTGGTGTCAGGGGTCTGATTCATATTTTTAAGCACTGGTGATGAGGTTGGGCTGCACTGAACACAAACTGATAGACACTGATTCAATATATGCGTATTTTCATGGGAACTGGCATTATTGTAAAAGAAATGGGAAGCACAGCGTTGGATTATTAGTCTGGTTTCCAGCTAAATCCCCAGCCTGGGTGCCTCCAGCTACAGGCACCAAATAATAATATAGAAGCTGACAAAGTCCAGAGGAGGGAGCAACAGAATTATAGGGATGTTCGGTAAACAGAAGTTTTAGAAAACAATGAAAGGTTTGATGAGTCTAAATCAGCAAAACCTAAGGAAGATAGTAACACTTCAGCCCATAAAAATGGGTTACAAAGTGGATTAGAGATCTGGTTTACTCTGCACCCACTGTGGAGCAACAAAAGCAATAACCAGCTTCTCCAGGGAGCAACTTCTTTGAGCTAAAACCATCGAAACTCATCTCTGGTGTTGGTTTTTCTCCTGCTGGCTGATGACATATTCAGCAGTTGAATGGCTTCATTTTGCTGTACGCATGCACCATATTTGGCACCAGTCCTCTTCAACTTCTGGCTGTCCATACCCACCTGTGCACTGCTCCTGATCTCTTTCTCTCTCCTCCTTTCCAAACGTCTACATTCCTTCCCTTGATTTGCCTTTGCACTGGTGGGATTTACAAATCTCACTTTTATTTGTTGCTGCAGCTTTCCCTAATTTATTCCCTGTGTGGTCTCCTCTAACAATGTTTTACTGCTTCACTGTCTTAGGGGAACCAATGGGACGAGAAAAAAAGATATTTTAAATGTATCTGGCTCATTAGCTATGCACATTCTTGAATAACGGGTACGATTTAAGTTCACCATAAGAGCTGGGAGTGCTGGAGCTGTAACTTTACTTCTGCCTCCCTCAATGACCTTGTGCAGTTTGTTAAGCTCCCAGGGCCACGCTCGCCTAAAAATAAAGAATATTACCTTTTTTTTCTTTTTCTTTTTTCCCCTAGGGATGTGTGAGTTTTAACTAATAGACCTGTATATATTTTTTGAAGTTCTGTTTATATAAATGCAAAACGCTTATCTTCTTGCCTTCAAAACATTCACAAATGGTCAGGAGAATTTTAGGGCTGAAAGATAAACAGCTCACAAGAATGAGAAAAATTAAAATGACACACGTGTGCACTTATCACAGACCTTTAGGCAGCCTCTAATTAAGTAATCACTACTTCTCAGCGTTATACAGATGCTATCGCACGCTGTTAAATTGCGTAGCAGCCTGTAATGCTGTGCACTCTGTTTGTACAGGATAAGGGCGCTCTGGAAATTATTGAGATTAGCACATTATCTTTCTAACGTACACTGTCATCAGGTCAGGATTGAGATGTTCCACGCTCAGCTCTACAAAAGGCAGCAGGGACAGCGTTTCTTCCTGGCAGGCCACAACACTCATTAGCTCAAGGGGTGGCTCAGGAGCCATCTTACCACTGCCAGGCACTGTCTCAAGGCTGTGCCATTGGTATGCTGGCACTTGGGGTTCCCAGGGTGTCTTATTATAGCAGGAGGTGATACTTAGAGAAGGCAGTCTTGGATTTGGAAAGTGCTGAGGCATTTTGGTGCTGTTCTCCTGGTCACCTTGCTGCTGAGATGCTGAGTGTGACCAGAGCATAAGGCACGCAGCCAGCACTACATGGTGCAGCAAGCACTTGTACAGAATGAGTAAAAATCAAAGAAATTGAAGGTGTTAGCAAGGAAATGGACTGCTTGCCTTTGAGAGCTGACAGAATAAAACTGTGTGATATGACAGGGAACTGGTAACGATGAGAAACAGGGAGAAAATTATGCACAGAATCATAGAACTATAGAATTGAGTTGGAACGGACCTTTAAAGGCCATCTGGCCCAACCTGCCTGCTGTGAACAGGGACGCCTCCATCTCCGTCAGGTGCTCAAAGCCCTGTGCAGCCTGACCTTGGACATCCCTGGGAACAGGGCATCCACCCCCCTGTGGGCAACCTGTGCCAATGCCTCACCACCCTTATCATGAAAAACTGCCTGATATCTGACCTAAACCTGCCCTCCTTGTGGTTGAAAGCGTTTCCCCATGCCCTGTCACAACAAACCCTGCTGGAGTCTGCCCTTTCTTATTCTATTGGTAAAGAGAGCTTTAATGTACACATCTCTATGTGGTGTTAGTAAAGAGATTCACCAAGTTTCATCTTTCTACTGTCATTCAAAGCATGCTGTTGATTTCTCTGGGAATGGGCGAAATTATGGTCTGGCAGCTGACACCTAACAGGAGAACACCTATGTGAAGGTAAGCACACTCCAAGTCCTTCGCACTTCTACTGAACTCGGTGGAAACCGGTCGAACAATTAAAAAGTTATCACACAGCGAAACCCATAGAGCACGGTTACAAAGCCTCCTTTATTTTGAAACGAACCCGAGCCAAAGGAATAGGCAGGCAGCCCCGCCATAGCTGTAGGCCTGTCCCAACCTCTGCGCGTCGCCATGGCGACGCTCCCGGCCCCGCCCCCGGCGCCACCCGCGGAGCAATGGCGAGGCCGCCTCCGCATCACGTGATGGCGCTGGCGCGCCGGCGGACGTGGCCCGTCCCCCACAGTGCTCCGCGGCCGCCGTGGCTGTGTTGAGGTGCCGGCGCGCCGCGCTCCGTTCCGGTGAGGCTCCCCGCTGCCGTTGCCGTGGCGACGCGGCCCGTCCGTCGCCTGCGGGCCTGAGGGAGGGCAAGGAGTGGGGAAGCGGGGGGAGGGGGCCGCCAGCCGGCCCTGTCTGGGACTGTGCTGGACTGTGCACGGGGTGTCCGATTGGGCCGAGGCCTTGCTGTCCGCTGTGCTGGGAACGGCTATACCGGGGTGCTTGGGAGCATTGCGACGCGGTCCGATTTCTGGGCGCTCGGTGCTGAGTGCCTGCGTAACAGAAATGAACGGGATGGTGGTTGAATGTGGCGTAAAAGTAAGGCAGGTTGCGTTTTTCATCGCCCAGCAGAAGGGACGGGCCTGGGGCCACGTGTCAGAGCGGCGGAGGCCGACGTGTGGTGAACGGCGCAGGAACGGGCGGGCTGCGCTCCTGCACAGCGCCGGGCTTTGCTCGTCCCTGAGCCCGCACGGGCCCTGTTTGCGGTGTCGGACGGAGCTCGGTGAAGACGTGCCGGCAGGTGCGTGCAGGGAGCGGTGTGAGCGGCGCGAGCGCAGCGGGGTGTTGCTGTAACGAGCTCTCCCTGCTGGTCCCCGCGGTTCAGAATCTCCCCGAGCGGTGCGGTGGTTCAATTTGTAGAACCCACGTAGTTTCTCCTGGAGCTTTTCAAGTTGCTTCTTGAATTTGCTTGACATCTGGGCGTCGGCAGCATCCTGTGACAAGCAATCCCACGAGCTGACTGCGTGTCCTCTGAAGAACCGTCTGTGTTACCCCGAGCCCAACACCTGGCACTGCCCTCAGGGCTCACAGAGAACAGGATAGCAAACCCCATCCCTCTCGTTTCCCCATACCTGCGGTGGGTTTATGAACCATTTGTGGTGTGAGTGCGGTTGAAGGACATAGATTATTATTATCTAGTATTTAAAGTAAGCAGCCCTGCCTGCAGCAGGCGGGTATTGGAGCTTGGTGGTCCTTGAGGTCCCTTCCAACCCGAGCCATTCTATGGTTCTATGATTTTTTTTTTTTTTAATTTTATTTTATTTTTTTTTTGAGGAAAGCTTGTGGAATTTGAAGTAATGGTGAAGTAATATCTGCACTTTTGAAAATGAGTTTAAAAAAACACACTTAAACTTAGTACTGAAACCACTCCCATATCACTAATGCTCTTTTCTCAGTCACCCCGTCTGTATGTCACATTACTGCCTGATGCCTTCTGTGAATCTGTTGTCTTGAGGGCTGCATGAAGTCGTTTGTTTCATTTCAAAGATTTAATAAACTTTTAAAAATGTTTTCAGGTGAGGTTGAATGTTGTATTACAGTATAGGTGCTGTACATGTGTGTACATGTGATTGTGCAACAGTGTGGTATTTCTTTTATTGACTTCATTTTCAGGTAGCTTTCTGAATGTGCTGAAAGCTGTGGCTTCTGCTGCTGGTCCAAGTTCAGGAAGCTGAGAAAAAAATAGATCTTTTCACTGGTTGGATTTTCAAAATGATGATAGTGGAAGCTGGTTAACTGTTGATATTAAGACAAACACAGTTTTTTTTCCCTGTGTATTTTATAGTGCATGGAGAGAACTGGCAGGTTGCAGTGTTGGCTTATCTTCTGTAACAGACTAATTTCTCTAAGTAGGAGTCCTGAGGAATGTAACTGTTTTCGTTCTAGATTTATGCAAATGTTTATTTAAGATATACATCTAAATGGAAAGAATACCTCTAATGGGTTCATTATGATGCCCACGCATACATTCTGTTGTTAGTGGTGCTTTCTTTATCCTTGAGTGTAGAACAGCTCTTGTTAGACTGAATACTGAGAGCCTGAATGCTCTGGAAATACAGCTGTGATCATGTTGTGCTACGTTCCTAAATTTTCCAATCAGAGGAAATAATGAATTAATTGAATTTAATATGTGAAGCGTGTGGTAGGATTCAGACAAGGCAATGTTATTCTGCATTAATAATGTACTGTACAGCTGGCAATGTATTTGTTCCCAAATGGCTGAAGTAATGGGATTTCTTCAGTTTCTGGTAAGGAGCAGTGAAACGTTTTAATATTCCTGTTGCTTGAGTACCCGTGTGATCCTGTGGGGTGTGTTCAGGCCTTTCCAACCAGTGTGCCCTCATAAAAAGGGCTTAAGAACGTTGTTAGCCAGTAAATACATTCATTATTTTTTTTCTGATTGTTCTCATCAGATGGCACAAGATGAGCTGTAACGATCAAGATCATTTCAGTGGACAGAATAATATTTTTCCTTCCGAGAGCTGGCAACAGGATTCTGAGCTCCTCCTGCAGTGCCACCATACTCACTGCCTTTTCCTAGGATGGGACATGGAGATAAGTTCCTGTTTTCACTTTAGCTGCTAATGGAGTTATTGGCTTCATCAGTGGAAATGCAGATCCATGAAATTACATCTTGTGCAAGTAAGTTAAGAGGGGAATTTTAAACTTTGCTATCCCATTTTAGTTCTTATGTTCATATTGAAATAGCTTGCAGAAGTCCCTTTCAGAATTAGGTCCCAGGTGATAATTATGTGAGAACCATTGCAATTTAAAGCTCCTCTGCAGTTTTGTCATGCTGTGGAGCTGCTGCCATGGGCACATGGCTAGCAGTATAGTTAAGGATACAAGAGCTGTTTATTTTCCATGTGAATTGTCCTGCTGGAAGCATATACATCAATTTAAGCACACGTAGAGAAAAAATTTCTAGAACTGCAGGTTAAATTAACTCTGGGAAGTCCTGAAGTTGTTTTCTGGTTGCTTTTATTTTTTTGTTTGTACATCTTCCTGATCAAAGCACTTTGTACAATGAAGAATTCTGTGATGAAATGGTGAAATGACAAGCATACCTTATAGAGCTCAGAGGCTCTCTGTAGACTACAGACAGTGGTGTCTTCTGCTGCTGTTCCAAGTTCAGTGCATAGCTAACTTGCAGCATCTCAAAACAGGCTGAAGTTTGCTGATGAGGCTGAACTTCTTAAGTTGGAAATTACAATAAATCTTCTGTGTTTGTATCTGCACATGTGTCTTTCTCAGCAGTAAGTACACACAAGCAACTTCAGTATTGATTAATACTCAGTAAGTATCCTTATTTATAACCTTTGTGAAGTGGAAAAGTGGAGAGATTAGAATTCAGGGGAAAACCAGCTGTTTGATTTACTTTCTTTTATGAAGAGGCAGTGCTAATTGAGGGAAATCTGGATTCCTAGGTTTTCAGAATCCAGTCCTTGAGCTGCTACGGCTCGTAAAGCACTGTAATGTCATGGTTTGAAAGGTGCTGTAAACACGTCAGTATTGCACACTAAAGCATATTTCAGTTGTATTCAGAAATCTGTTTTCTGTTTCAGTTTATGACTATATGAAACTTCAGTAGCATCATCTGAGGGAGGCAAAACCCACTTTTTTTGCAATTTCTGAAGTGATAGGTGTAGCAAATGGTAGGAGTCAGCAGAGCAGTGTTAGGAGTTGACAAGGAAGTGTTTGCTTTTGGCTTCAGATTGATTCTAGCAGTTCGCCCACTTGTCAGAGTAATCTTTTAAAAAACCTGCATAAAGCTTGTCTTGATAAACTTCTGCATGTTTTGATTTAACGTGAGGTTTGAAGAACTTGGAAGTTTTAAACTTGTCATCTCTCCTGAAAGACTTGTCTGTAGGATGGGTGTTTATACAGTTGATAGTGTTAATTGCCTGCTACAATTTTACTCCTTTTGTGTGGGAAATGTTTAAGTACACAATTTTTTTGTTCTTTAAGTGTCTGGATTCCCCAGAGCTTTAATTGTTGCGCTTGAAAATTCAATACTGGAAAAGCACACATGCTTTGCAAGCACCTTCTCATCTTGCCCAGTGTTTCCATGTTGCTGACAGACGTGTTTCACAGATGTAAAAATGATTTGGGAGAGCTGGATTACCTTCCTTGCTGTTTTATTCCTTGATATTTTTTATTATTTGATATCATCTCTGTTTGTCAAGGTACTTCAGCAAGCACTCAGTAAGAGCTTCATGAAAGCATATCAACACTGTTGCTATAAAGACCTGGATATGTTTTCTATCTGATGTATGCTTACAGCACACGCTTTTCCTATCCAGCTGTTGTTTGTGCTGTCATTTTTTTCTCTCATTTGAAAAAATAATAATAAAATTCTCAGCTTGAAGAAAGCAATTACAGCAGTGCTAAGGCTGAGTACTAGCGTATCCCCCTCCATAGGTATCTTTGGGTGAGGATTTATGGCAATTCTGATTTTTTTTTTTTTAAAAAAAAAAAGGTTTGGAAATGGACATTCTGTTTACTGCCACTTTGTGATTTACATGGACTAATAGGTCCTTTTCACTTACAGCTTCAGTCTGAGTTGTAGCTGCAAATAATCCCCCTATTCTGTTTTTAAGCTTGGGCCAACACAAAGTTTGGACAGTTTGATTAATCACTCCTTTAATTAACTCCTTTGTTTTCAGTTGGACCTTAGTTCTTATTCATCTTCTCGTATATTTCTGAGTTCATTTTGTGTTTTGCTTTAGGTTGTTGTTAACTGCTGGCAATGTCTATGATTTTATCTGCCTCTGTGGTCCGTGTGAGGGATGGACTCCCACTGTCTGCATCCACCGATTATGATCAAAGCACGGGAGTGCAAGAATGTAGAAAATACTTTAAAATGCTCTCAAAGAAACTTTCTCAGCTTCCTGATAGATGTACTCTGAAAACTGGACAGTACAACATAAAGTAAGGCTTGTCTTTCATATAATGTAGCATCTTTTTCCACACGTCGCATCCTTTGTCTGTAAAGTTAATGCTTGAACAGTAGAAATGGTTATTCAGAATAATCATAGAATCACCAAGGTTGGAAAAGGCCTCCCTGCTCATCCAGTCCAACTGTCCACCTACCACCAGTATTCCATGTCCCTTAGTACCACATCCAAATGTTTCTTGAACACCTCCAGGGATGGTGGATCCATCACCTCCTTGGGCAGCCCATTCTGGCACCTGACCACTTGTTTGGTCAAGAAATTTTTCTTAATGTACAACCTGAATCTCCCCTGGTACAACTTGAGGCCATTCCCTTAGTCATGTCACTAGTAAGAGTAGTACTTGGCAGTATTTGTATATCAAAAGTTGCAAATTGAGAAATAGTGGAAAGATTTGAAGCCTGGTTATACTTCAGTACAAGTCCTAGTTCAAAATTTATAACACCTAATTTCAAAGTTTTTGACTTGCTAGAAGCATTTTTGTTAACTTCAAAGTTGCTTTTCACATAAAAATGATCACATTTGTCCTTTGTCATTGCAGTTCGACTATTTCTTATTTGTTTTCTCTTTTTAGTCTGCAGCAGATTTAAAAACTACATAATAATCCCAAAACTTGATTATCTCATCCGTGGATGAGTGGATGTGTACATATGTATATGTACATACACACACAATGTAGGTGTGTAAAAAAAACATTGACTAAAACTGAATTTATTTTCTTGTAGAATAGAGTTTGACTTTTCATTAAGCATTAGTTCCTTTGTTATCCCAGTATTTTGCTTTTCTGATTGTGGAATATGAGATCAAACTAGTGAAGCTGCCTGTTACCTAGAAAGACATTTGAAATTCTGGTTTTGTTGTCTCAATTACAGCTTTATCAGTTCTCTGGGAGTAACTTACATGATGTTGTGCACTGAGAACTATCCCAGTGTTTTGGCTTTCTGCTTCCTGGATGAGCTTCAGAAAGAATTCATCACTACCTACAATATGATGAAGACAAATACTGCTGTCAGACCATACTGTTTTATAGAGTTTGGTAAGGATCTGATTTCTTTTCATGCTCGTTCTCACACTGACTCAAATGCTTATTTAAATAGATGTGCAACTTAATGTACACAAAACAGAAACGTCTGAGGTAGCTTGTAGCTGTGCTTCAGGTGGATTTGGAGTCTGAAGTAACTCCCATTAGGATTGGTTCGAAAGAAAACAACTCTTGGCTTTAAATTGGGCTACTAGAGTTTTATACAGACATTCAGGTTGATTTTGGCTCGTAACTTCTTTGACCAAATCAGAGTTTAGCTTCTCCTAGTTAATCATACATGGAGCTGATGACTTCGTACTTCTGAACCTGTGAAGGCACTGAGCTTCATAAATTTCTCAAGTGAAAGATTGCATTTTCTTGTTGGCTCTTAGCTATGCAGCAGTTCTGATTCAGTGCATGGAAACGAGATGTTTTTATTTGTCTTATGATAGGCATTTAATCTTCTGTCACGCAAGCAGATACAACTAATCTCATATAAACCTGGTTGCAGCTCTTATGGATTCTATTAATATCTGTTGCTTTAATACTGTAAGCTGTGTGTTATTTTAAGTGTTCTTATAAGTGCATCAGAGCAAAAAAACCTGCAGTTTTAGAGGAAGTTATAATATATATCAATATCTATCTAACTAATATTGAGGAAATGCTCCATCTAGTTAATTTCTCTGTAGTTGAGTCCGTCTATTAGTAACAATATTTGTATGATGTTTGTCTATAAAGACTTCCTTAAAATTATTTTATGCTTTCATTTTACTAATTGTTGTGTTCGAATGTAGGTCTATTACAGTCTTTATGTTGGTATAATGTGGTATTGTTTTTCTCTGCCTGCATATTTTGCAGGCACAACTCATACCCAAGTTTATACTTGAATTCAGGAATTAATTTTCTCCTAAGGATGTTTAACTTAGCAGAAAAGCTGGAATAAGGACAGTAAATCCATTGTATTAGCAATTATTTCAGTATCATGCAGTGAAAAGTCTCGAGTTTATTCACTATTATAAAGTAATTAGCTTTCTAGAGATTCATTTTTTTTTCCTGCAGAATTAAATAGCACGTGATTATTAGTCACAAAACTGAAATAGTATTGGAACGTGCCAAGAAAAATGTAGGCATTTCAAACCATCTATTCAAGTTTGAAAAGTGTGTAGTGCATAAAACTGTGTGGTTTTGGGTCGCTTTATAAACAGAAATCCATCAGGATATAACTTTCAAATTTTACACAGATAATTTCATTCAGAGGACCAAACAGAGATATAACAACACGCGTTCTTTATCAACAAAGATGAATCTTGCTGACATGCAGACAGAAATCAAACTGAGGCCGCCTTATCAAATTTCCCTGTCAGAACTTGGTTCAGCTAATGGGTTTGCACATTTATCTGCAGCAGAATATAAGGGTACCGGTAAGATATCTGCAGGTAAGTTTTAAGCTTCTCTATTTGCATCTTTAAATGACAAAGAGAGAGAGTTGTCTTTATTGTAGTCTTTCATAGAATCATAGAATGGCCTCGGTTGGAGAGGACCACAACGATCCTCTAGTTTCAAGCTGCTGCTGTGTGCAGGGTCACCAACCGCCAGACTGGGCTGTCCAGAGCCACATCCAGCCTGGCCTTGAATGCCTCCAGAGTTGGGGCATTCCCAAAATGTTTCTTCTTTTCTTCAGAGAAAAAAAAAAAAAGGTTTTTCACTACGGTATTCATAAAATGCATGGTGTATCACGACAGTTTTATGCTTTAGCTTAGATATTTGTTGTCAGCCCTAAGTGTTCCATCTTTTTAAGGCGTTCATAGAGAGCTCAATGGACAGCTTATCGAAGGAAAAAATCTACATGAAAATAAGCAAATGAGAAAGAGCACTTCACAAGATGATTGCTTTGGTGTTTTGTTTTTTTTTTTTCTTCCACATTCTATGATATATCACAATTTTGATTATGTCTGCCCAGAGGGATGCGGATGCTTTGGAATTTCACAATCACAGATACTTCCTAAGTGCTGTGCTAAAAGAAGTTCTATCTGAAATAAGTGCTTTATGTGTGATGTCATTTTGTATTGTCATACTCACTTAAGCAGTCTTTAATATTTTTTTTTAAACTTCATTTGACCTGATGTAGGAAGTAAATATGGCATGATGTGGTTTTCAACTGGGCTAAAACTTATGCTAACATTTCTTATTTTGAGTGCTCTAAATCAGTTTGTAACTAGAAGAATTATAAACAATAAGCATTTATTTATTGAGAATTCTGCCTGCATCAAAGTCAGCTGTACATTTAAACTGTTTATGATGTGGCAGATAATCATCTGATTTATCTTTTCCCCACCTCACCACAGCCTGTCTGTATGGAAGCTGTTCTGTTGTCCTCTTTTATTCTGTCTTGGCTTTTGGTTCTTTTCCCCCTTTTGATTACTTTTAACGTTCTTCCTCCTCTGAATTCCTTGTATCTCTCTGTTCAGTTATCTGTTTTCATCCTTGAACTGCTGCAGAAACTTGCCATCAAAGGGCTGTATGTCAGTGGTTTCCGGGCTGGTTTGGCCCGGTTCCGTGACCAGCGGGGCAGAGGGATCTGTGGATCCGCACCTCTGGAAAAGGGAAACAGGGGACCCCAAAATAATTGAAAACAATGGCAATAATCTGAGGTGGAAGAAATGATTTACTAAATATAGTATTAGCAAAGTACAATGAGAGAGAGAGTCTGTCTGAATGGTAGATAGGCCTCACCACAGTGCTGAGGTGAGAAGTGCAGTCCAGTTGAGTGAATGAAGAAAAGCAGATGGGGAAGAGCGGGCGAAGAAGAAGGAATCAGGTGACCTTGCACAGAATTATATCTCCTTGCTGCCTGCAAAGCCTCCTGGGGAAATGTAGTTCTTCTCCGTCAGACAAGCATTTGGGACTCGAGCATCAGAAGTCAAACCCCCCAGTGCATTACATGATGTTATGGTGTGGAATACTGATAACAATCATAAAACCCATAACATCTGTACATTATGCAAGGTTTGCACTTTCCTCTGCCTTCAGCTCTTCCAGTTTTAGATGCTACTGAATAATAGCATCTTGAAAGTGACTTCTGAGCACGTCTGCAGACACCTTCATTATACTTCACACTTGTTGTAAATTCTCTCCCTCCTTGAAAAGAGCCTTCTCTGGATGTTTAATACACAGTCTGTTCACTGGACTTCAGAATTTCCCTTTTGCTTTAAGGACAGCATAAAATCATAGAATCACTCAGGTTGGAAAAGACCTTAAAGATCATTGAGTCCATGACCTAACCATACTACCCTAACTAAAAAACCTTTGCTAAATCATGTCCCTTACCACCGCATCCAAACAGTTTTTAAATACGTCCAGGGATGGTGACACAGTCACCTCCCTGGGGGAAACCTATTCCAGTGCTTAACAACCCTTTCTGTAAAGAAGTGTTTCCAAATATCCAACCCAACTCACCCTAGCACAGCTTAAGGCCATTTTCCTTGTCCTGTCACTGGTGAGAGGAGACCAACCCTGCTCTTGCTGTGAGCACCTTTCAGGTATTGGAAGAGAGCAATAAGGTCTCCCCTCAGCTTCCTTTTCCCCAGACTGAGCATCCCCAGTTCCTTCAGTCTCTGCTCATAGGGCATATTCTCCAGGCCCTTCACAAGCCTTGTTGCCCTTCTTTGGACCTGCTCCAAGGCATCTCAGTGTCCTTTCTGTACTGAGGTGCCCAAAACTGAACACGGTGCTTGAGGTGAGGCCTCACCAGTGCAGAGTACAGGGGCAGGATGACTTCCCTAGTCCTGCTCACCACACCATTCCTGATACAAGCCAGGATGCCACTGGCCTTCTTGGCCCCCTGGGCACGCTGCTGGCTTGTATTCAGCTGACTGTCCATCAGGACACCAAGGTTCCTTTCTATCAGGCAGCTTTCCAGCCACTCCTCCCCAAGCCTGTAGGGTTGTTGTGACCAAAATGCAGGACCCGACACTTGGCCCTAATGAAACTCATGCATCTCACAAGAAGATGTGCTCTGTGTAGTGTAACTGTTACATATGCTGTCCTGTTAAAAATATGCCCTGCTATAAGTGAAGTACAATAAATGAGTTGGGTAGGAAGTCAGGCACAAGTGTTGTTGCATGGCATGGTAGAAATTAATGTGTTTTGGTTGTGTAAAGGTTTGATAAACTATTATCTATTACTTTCTTCTACCTGGAGTTGGGTGTATATCCAAGCTGTAGTGTTTTAGCCTCTTTCTCCTAAGTAGTTGACCAGAGCAGTCCTTTCCTGTGCTGAAAGTTGTTGTGTGCAGTGAGTAATAGGGCTAAGTTATGCATCAGAGAAGCAGGAAGTGCAGATTATGGGTAGGATTTTGTTTCAAACATATATGCAGGTGTTGACAGGAATTAGAAACAGGGTGACAATGTGAATTGGCAATGTGATATGTGAAATTTTAGGTATCTATTTGGTTCAGATGGACTATTTTCTGAGCTTTTTTTTTCTTTTTTTTTTTTTCTTTTTTTTTCCAACAGAGGAGCAGTTCTTGGATCAAAATTCCTTTTTGCCTGATGATGTACCCATTAAAATTTTTTTTTTTTTTAAATAAATGTTCTTACAAGTAATGCAGTATCTTATGCCGTGTAAATTTCCTAAATAGTTATCTAAACTTCAAAGTTTTAGTTCAGAATTTCTGGTTTCTTTGATCCTTGCCTTGCTGAAGAGAGTTTTTGATACAGCTGTTATGATCTTGTAAGATCTGTAGATGGACTGACTTGAGGACAGCTGGCCTTTGCCCTGTCTTATCCAGTACCCCTTCGTTCTCATGGTTTTGCCTTTATTTTACTGTACTTAAATGACTTTTTTTCCTTTGATAGTGAAACTGAGATTTATTAAGCCTGGGAGAGCTTCTGGACATCAGTAGCACTGTGCAGTGCCCTTTATAGTTTTTAGGTTTGTTTGTTTGTTTTAATAAGAGGGAAACATTATAATTTCACGCTTCTTCAGAGTCTCTCTTGTTTAACTGACAGCAGTGTTTACTTTTCCTCCCCATGGTTCCAAAGAGGCATTTTAAGCACTTTAATACATGCTGCTTTACAGTAAACCAGTTTTCCTGGTTACAGCAGCATGGAGAGCTGTGTGTGAGTTGTCAGAACTCAACCGGAGAGCTGCTTTTATTCACTGGTTAGTGAAACACGGGGACTTAAAGCAGTCACATAAGCCCTTAGCTCTTTGCTGCACTCTAGGTGAGATTGACTGTTTAGAAAAGTTGGGAGTCAGAGTTAAAGAACAGTTTGGTGTGCAGGTACTGTATGTAACCATAACAGAGTGGTTTCTAGTAGTAGTCCTGTAAGTTCATTATTAAATACTGAATGTAGCACAAGTGAGCTAGCAGAACTCGTTTTGTGCTGTAAGTTACCACACGCTGGAAGTCAGACAGCCCTGTCTGCTTATCAGTGTGACGCCGCTTTGGTCATTTTCTTGTTTAGTTTCTGCAACTTCATAAACTGGATGTGTGCAGAGTGCACAGCCAGGATTGGCACCCCTTTCTCTATTAGTGCTGCGGCTCATTAACCTCATTCCTCACATCTTTACACTTGAGTGGTTCCAACAGAATGATTTAAGCATGGTTCAGCAGTCTTTTTGTTTTCCCTGTGTTGCTAAGAGTTTTGCATCACTTCTTCATATTTGCTTTCTGTTATTAATTATGGAAAGGCACAGTCAGTGCAAACAAACACAACCGTTATGTACTTGTGATGTTAAGATAAGCCCAAAGGAAAGAGTGTTTTAATTTTAATGTCCTTCTAAACACTGTCTGGAAGGCCTGTATGAGGTTTTAAGGTTGGTAATGTGCTGTAGTTTCAAAACTATTCTGTTTCTGCATATGGTAGTACTTCCTGGCTGCACTTTTTAAAGGTAGAGGAGAGTAATAGGTTCTGGCTCAGAGTGTTCCAGTTCAGCAAGCAGCTAAATAAGTCTTGATAGTTCTGCTAATACATTAGTGTTAAAGAAAAACGAAGATTGTGAGAGGAGCTCTTAAGTATGTGACCTATTACCTGGCTATTAATTGTGGGCAAATTTTACTAGCAAGTGCATCATTTGCCATTGATTTCCTGGCATGTTTAAGCAGCTTTCAAGACCTTACTGAGGTCTTGCTGAATGTACAAGAGTTAAAGACTAAATATAGTGAGACAAGTTGGTCTTACAATAATGGAAGGAAAATATGCTTTCCTTCAAACTTAAAATGTTTCCTTTTCTTAAAAAATAATACATTTTGTGGTTTGCTTCAGCAGCCTCTTGTGAACTAGAAGATTGGAAAAAGTAGATTAATATTGTACTATATTTTTTTAATATACCACTTTGACTGAGTTTTTCTTTTTGTCTTTTTGCAGCTCCTCACCAACGTCTGGAACCTGTGACCCTGCCTGGGATTGTCTCATTTGTACTCAGTCTCCTGTGCGGAGCTTTGAATTTAATTCGTGGCTTTCATGCCATAGAAAGTCTTCTGCAGGTATTGTACCATGCCTCTGAATGTGAGTTGTGCATCGCGGTACTCGTGCTGTCACCTCTGAATGTGCTTGCTATGTGAAGGAAGTCTTGCCGGCTTTATTTTCACAAATATGTGGTTGTGAGGTCAGATCTTTATGACACTTACATTGTTTATAAGCTGTGTATCCTTTCTGAGAGGGATGCATTGTTTGTTAATGTTGGGAAATACAGAAGTAATGGAAGGTGAGGAAGGAAGGACCAGCGGTCTCTGTAGATACTTTGGTAGTAGTGGGCATGTGAACACCAAATTTTTTCCTAAGTGTATGCCAGGATATGAAACACTCTAATAGATACTATGAAAAAACACTTGTGAGGAAATGATGGACAGCTGTGAAAATCTGGCCTTTTTTTTCTTTTTTTTTAAGTTCTGTGATGCAGAAATCTGGAAAGCCACTTTGTAAAACGCTTTTTTAGAAACCTTTCTGTGTTTCTGTTTATTTTTCATAAACTTCAGGTTACTTATTGTTCTTGGTGTTCTGAAAGGCTTAATGCAGGGGAAACTGCCGAGTGATTTCTTGTTTCCAAACAAAAATGTACAAAAAAAGTACCTCAACCCCCACATGTTTATTTGCTTATGTGAACTCTGCTCAAACCTTTATTCTGGGTATTGACAGAGTTACGTGTAAAGACTTAATGAAACAGTAATCTTGGAGGTCTCAGCAAGAGTGGAGCAAGAGGACTGAAAGTGCCCCATGCTGTGGGGCCTTCTTGGCCCAACATGAGTGGGATTTTTGACCCAGCGTTTGTCCTGGATATTAGCCAAACTCTGTTATAACTGTGCTTCAGCAAATGTGCTGTGAGGCAAAGATTTGCCCGTGATTTAGGAGAGTGCTGCATTATGTATGTATGTAGGTCAGCTTTATCATAGAATGGTTTGGGTTGGAAGGAACCTTTAAGATCACCTAGTTGCACCCTGCTGCTGTAGGCAGGGACAGCTTCCTCTGGACAGGTTGCTCACAGCCCCATCCAGCCTGGCCTTTATGTACAGACGTACACATTTTTGTCTGTGGTTTTTTTTTTTCCTGTTTTTTAAACACAGAGTGGAAACATCTGTGCATATCAGGTATTTTTTTTCCATCTTTTCTTTCAAGAAAACAAAATTTTCTAATAATCTGTCTGATAAACTTGTTTTGTTTGTTCTTGTGGCCATTAATGTAGAGTGGCCTGCGTTGTTCTCTGTGTAGCGTTTTACCACACCCTAGTGGCCAGTTTGTGTCCTTCTCTTTTACCTTGTTTCCCATTCTTGGAAGCTACAGGAGAGTAGAGTTGTGCAAACCTGATTTTAAAGGCGGTTAACAGTGTTTAGACTTGAATTTTCAGAGGCATCTGGAGAATGTCCAGTGCCAGCTTTGATTTAGCTTATACAGGAATCTGTGTAAATCTCTGTGTAAGGCTGTCTTAACATACATTGAAGAACTGCCATAGGTGCAATCTGGTATTTCACTGAAACATTGTAAAACATTGCTTTTTGCTTTGTTTTCACAGAATGAAGGTGAAGATTTCAGCTATGTTATTGCATTTTTTCTCGGAACAGCAGCCTGTTTGTACCAGGTGTGTTCTGGTGCTTGCCTAATTCACTAAAATTGAGACACATCTCTCAGTCATGCATAAGTGTCAACATAGAATCACAGAATTTTAGAAGAACACATTTTCCTAAATGTCACAGCTACTTGGATACAGTCATTATAAAAAGAACTTCTGTATTTTAATGCATTGATCATAGACTGTCGCACAGTAGATTAATACGTACATCTGTCTGCTGACATGTTTTTCCAGGTAGTTGATTAAGGGATCTGGTGTAGCTTATCTGTTATAATCTCCATCGCTTGAGACTTTTGTTTACTTCAAGTACAAGTTTCTTAGCTTAAGTGTATCTAGCATTTCTTTCCTTTGGAAGGATGTGAGTGTATATATTAATACGTAGGCACCCAAGATTTTCTCTCACTTCATAAGTTCTCATGCATCTCTTTCCTTTTGAAATCTTTCAGTCGCTTTCCACTGTGTTTCCCTGTCTGTTTTGTGCTTACATTTCCTGTCTGTAGGTTTTCCATAAAGTAACCCCAGTACATTATATTGTTCGGCTGCAAGTGTGAAATGCTTTGGCATTTTTTGAGGAACATAAATAATGAAAAGAATGAAGTGGAATTTCTCTGGCATAGATAAAACACAGCAAATAAAGAACCAAGAGCATACTTAGATAATTTGATGAATTTGGTTAAATATTGGTGTGAACATCATTATTTGCTCTGTGGGAAGAAATTTCGATTAAAAATTAAACCTAAGTGATGCTGGTATTTTCCTTGCAGCCCAGCAAGAACTGTCTTTGACAGATGGAAATGGCTGAAATGCAGATGAGGCAAACTTTTTTTCTTTTCTTTTTTCTTTTTTCCTTTTTTTGTGGAAATGAAGTAGGCAGAACAGTAGCAAAAGTGAAGATAACACAAGGGAATGTGGGACAGTTGTGTCCTTTTAGAGATTTTCCATGTCTTTCCCACTCTTTCCTCTGAGGAGGACGTAAACTGGGTCTTGTTTCTTCTGAAGCAGAACAAAGAGCATGTTTTTGACTGGAGATTGCCAGGAACATCCACGTCACTTTAGCATGGGCTAAGTTAACACCGGTGTTACATGTTTCGAGTTTGACTTGTTTGTGGGATATTTTCTGCTGATTAATTAATAACTAGAGGCATTTCTTTATTGGAAGCTGCTTTCTGTGCAGTAATACCGTTTTTTTCTCCTGACAGTGTTACCTGTTCGTGTATTACACAGGCTGGAGGAATGCCAAATCCTTCCTGACTTTTGGGTTAATTTGCCTGTGTAACATGTACCTGTATGAACTGCGCAACCTGTGGCAGCTCTTCTTTCATGTGACTGTGGGAGCATTTTCAACGTTGCAAATCCGACTGCGACGACCGCAGGGGAAGTCCCCAGATTACAATGTGTGACAAGTCCTGGAACATTTAGAGGCGGTCTTGTTCCAACAGATATTCACTCTCAGGAATGTAAAGCTGTTCTCCAAAAGAAGAAGCTGGCTGGATGGCGCTTTTTGGTTTTGTTCCTTTTTTTTAATTAAGCAATGTAAGATGCCTGCGGACATTTTTCACTTGCTGGTTAAAAACCCTTTTCTTTTAAAGGAACAGCTGAGGACACAGATGAATAAAGAACTAGAGGAGAGAAGGGGGTCATATCGTGTAGTAAAATATGTGTTGATGGGAGGCTAATTTGGGGAATTTGGTGGCATGAAAAAAGCTTTGCTCAAGAGTATGTCAATGATGGAAGGAACATAGAGTATGTGTCCTGCATATCATGCAAGCTCTTCACTTCCAAAATCAGTTTTGCCTTTGTGAGGCAGTAGAGGATAGGCTAAGTTAATATTAAAAATGCTGTTGCGTATTAGCAAACTAGATTTGGAATATGTAATCTACTAAATTTTGGAATGTTTTGTTACACGTTGACATTTGCGTGAGTGTTTTCTTGATTAAAACATAACCTGGAAACTCTTTGTTTCTTGGGATCAGCTCTTTGGCACCTGTGGCCCTCCTTCTAGTGCTATAAACACTTGTATGTTTTGTCACCGATGGTTTCCTTCCGGTTGTCCTCCAAAAATGGTCTGTGTGGACAGGGTTTTGTTTCAGGAATGGTCTGCAGAGTTCTGCCACTCAACCCAGGACTTCCCCTGAGCTGTGGAGAGGTTGAAAGGAAACGGACCAGCGGGTGAGTAAAAAAGAGTAAAAAGGGCTATTCTTCTTCTTCTATACCTTCACAAATGGGAGGGATGATGAAATAAACAGGAAGATAATAAATCCGTCTGACTAACATAAATGAAAAACCAGATTGGAATGTTGTTCATTTTTGTGGCTTTATGTGTTTTTATGCTGTGATAGAACCTCTTACGTTCAAGAGGGCCATCCTCGAGTTATTCAGAGGTGTTCCTCAAGTTTGGGAATAGACCAGGAAACATCTAGCATTCACAAAATACAGGAGCAGCAGTGTTGTACCACTTTGAGTTTCTGTGATTTCTGTGATCATTTAGATTGCTTTTATATTTGGCAATTAGATGGCAGCTATCTGTGCTGTTTCATGAGATGCAAGTTGAGAGAATTTGTGTGATTTGTAGTAATGTAAAAATTCACTGAAATAGGTTTTTTTTTTAAATGTATTGTGCTGTTGGATTTGGAGACTGGCAGAGCTTTGCTGTGCTCTAAGGTGTCACACTTCATTCCAAAATGGTGCGTGTTTCAGTAGGTGTTTAGAGTCAGATTATCACTAAGAGAGCTAGATACTTTATTTAGTTCTTTAAAAGGTCATTTTAGTCAAGAAAATTATGTAAACCTGAGAAAGAAACCAGGCTTTTCTTGCTCATAAAGTCCAGAGCAGTCCTGCTGCCTTTTCACCCTAATTGGTTGGTAGGGAAGTTCTCATGAACGCCCAAAATACGTACTCTGTTTTTGGCTTCTGCTGTTCTGCATGTGAGGACTTTTCTCTTGTGTCATGTCTTTGGTTTATATGTCAGCAGATAATCTTGTTTTCTCTGTGACCCCTTCCTGCTGTTTCTTAAGGAATTCTTTACTTAAGGAATGAAAACTTCCTTTGCTACAGCATGTGGTGCCATGATTCTGTTCCAGTTCTGCTGTCATTAAAGTAGTGGATGATTAGCAGGTGTAGTGAATGAATGCAACTGTTACGTAGCAGAGGACAGTTGGGTTTTTGTTTGCTTGTTTTTATAGCACCGATTAAAAAAACAGTTTCACAAGGAAAATTCAGTGATGCACGTTTGGTAGTCTGACTTTTCATCACTTGCTATTACTGCGTGCTAAAAATGTGGCTTTTGAGCTAGACTGTGATGTCAGGATGTGCTGAAATGTTGTGTAAGATGAAATGCAAGATAAGCGAGAGCAGCGTAGAGGTGAAAGGTGGTTGGTAATTCCCAGGGCTTCCTGTCTGCTTGTAACAGTCCAGCGTTATTGAAGGAATAGTAGGTGCTTCCCTGCTGGTAGCTGCAGACATCAGAGTTGGACTTGTGAGGATGGATTAATGAAAGATGAATACTCTCTGGAGCAACATGGTTTGTTTTGGTTTGAGTTGTGCCAGCCATTCACTGTTGCTTGGCTGTTCTGTGGCATCTAGTAGAAGCAGAGCCCAGGTCATGCTGCGTTTATGGAGTTTGTCCTCTCTAAGGTTGGAATGGGTCCATCCAGCTGCCTCACTATCATTTTGTTTGTTTGTGTTTTATTTTTGAACAAAGGGTCACAATCTGAGTTCGCTTGCAGTGAAGAATCACCTGACGCTTGGCTGATCTTCACAGTGTATGAGGTTTGATTACCCCCGAGTGCCCAGTTTGAGCTTCTAGAAATTTAATTTGTTTTTCCTTATGTGCTTTTCTTTAGTGCCTGAGCTTTCTCCTGGTGGTCTGCTCTCTTACATTCAGTATTTGGGTCCAAATCACGTACACAGGCTCTGACTCTCTCATGTAAGGAATGTATCTAGTGAGGGCATGTAGAAAGAAGGCAGCTTTCCATCCTGGAATGTATATATGTGGTACTTGGACTGATTTTTAGATATTTCAAATCTAGCAGAGATCTACAAGATGATGGAAAATGGTTTCCTTTGCAAATATTGTGGTTACTTAACGTTCAGTATGGATTCTTCAATATATCAATCATTTCTTTACTGAAGGACCAAGGAACGACTGATTTGGGGTAGTGTGACTGTGCTGCCCAGCTGAAGCTGCATATTTCTTTCCAGTAGATGGCAATAAGGTGTTTGGATCTGAAACTGTGTGCTCGAAAAGATGTAGGGCCAGCTGCTGGTGGTGCAGCTTTCTCTGTCCGTGCTGATCCTGGGCAGGACAGGCCTGACACGAGGCACATGGTCTCCCCACTGTGTTGTGCAGCTCTCCTGAGCAGAATGGGGACAGAGAGGTGCTCGGGGATGAGAAGATAACAGCAAACCTCTGCTTCTTACAGCAAACTGCCTGCCTGCTGACTGCCCAATGCTGCTGCCTTCACTGCACTACTAAAGTGCTCCAGCTTCTTCTGTTGAAAAGCTTGTGACAGAGGAGCAAGAGAATGGAACCTGAGGTGAGTTTTTGCTTGTTTGTTTTCATTTGTTTTGGATTGGTTTGGCTTCATTCAGCTACATTGATCCTGGCAGACTGCATCCCAAATGAGCTCTTTGCCGCCCCTCAATTGGAACATTGCTTTTGGGTTAGCTGGCAAACATCCTAAGACAATTTTGAGAGCTCCCGTTCCCCCCATAAGTTCAAACTCAAAATGACTGTCTTCAGAAGCAGTCAGGAAGGTCATTGGACAGCAGATATTTCCCTCTAGGCAGTGTTTTTAGCTGCAGCTTATTCCCAAGTAATGTAATGTAGGAAGATGGGGTCCAGGTGTGCTGGTAGTGCAGGACATCTGTAACAAATGCAGTGCCTCCTACAAGTACCATTTCATTCTGCACAGGCAGACACAATGCAGCCAGCATTCATCAAAATGGTTTTTGGATGGAAGATAAAACACTGAGGGAAAACAGAGGGTGTGGGCAACAATCCTCAACTTAAACGAGAGGGCACGACTGTTTTTCCTCCCTTTAGGAATACCCTTGTCCAGCTAGCCCCAAAAGTGGCTTATGTCAGGTAATGTCCTGAGATGCTGCTTTATGACAGCGTGAAGCAACTCCCCAGCACTTTCCTGAGGGCTGGTTTTTAAGCCTGTCTTTTAAGACATTTATCCCTCCTTCTTAATGCAGGTTTAGTCTCAGTATATGTACGAAATCTCACCTAACAAGGAACAGATTTGAAGTCATTCATTCCATTTTTACCTGCCTGTATAAAAGGACCCTGAACTGAAAAAAAATCAGTGAGAAGATGGAGCCTTTTGTTTCCCAGTTCCACCTCAGACTTCTGGGGATTGGTGTAGATAAGTGTGGCACTTAGTGGAGCAATCCAGCAACTTTTACCTAGAAAACTGCCAGGGGCTGCATTGCCCAAGCAGCTGCCTTCTTTAAGGTGTCTTTGTGAGGACAAATAGACAGGTATCTATGGAATGCTTTGGAAACTATGATCTACTTCAAATACACTTTTTTTAAATCAGCTATTCATAGTGCTGCTGTCAGGACGTGTCAGCTGTCCCAGGACTAAGGGCTCAAGGTAAATGTGTACAGCATTCCTGCACTAGAGGGGAGTTGGGATGCCCCCTGTGGAGGCAGGGACTGGGAGAGCTCTAAGTGGGTACTGTACAGTACTGGTGTGGCCCCATCATCCCTCTGTAGTTGAGAACTGACTGCTGCTCTGTGCCATCCAATCTCTTCACTAGCCAGCTGCATCTAAAATAAAACAGACACGCTTTACCAGTGAAACAGTGTTTAATATAGTTAAATTACTTAAATAGATTTCAATTTCCATGGGAAATCATAACTGTATCCATTTTTGCAAGATCCAGAATAAAGAGTGTGTGAATACCCCTTGAAATGATCATGACACACTGTCAACAATCACAGCTAGAGATACTGGGGACTTGAAATTTCATTGACAACACAACCTCCTAAGATGAATCGAAAGTTAAGAAGACTGCAGACGTTCATAAAGCAGAAAGCAAACCTAAAAGTGAGTGTATGGCATGGAGGTAATGGAGCTGAGTGAGGGGATGGAGGGGGGGGAGGCGGAGGGGGAAAGAAATGCGTAATGGCATGATGCAACGTAAGTATTCTGCGAACCAGGAGGGATGGCAAGGAGCAAAAGTATAGTACAAGGGCAGACTTGGCAGTTTTACAGAAGTCTATACTATACTTTTCAGAAATGTTTCCAAGGGGAAGGAAAGGGGCAATGCCATTTAAGCTCGCACTTAAATGGCTTAATGCTAGGGTTATGCTTAGCAATATGGCAACTTAATCAAGACCGACCCATGGATTTTTACTTATTCTTGTTGTCAAGTAGGAAAAAAAATAAATTACCACCACAGTGCAACCATTAAGGTGTTAGTACTACAATAATTCTGCCCTGAGAAGAGTGGAAAAGAACTTTATTAAATGTCAAAAGATTGGAGCCACTTTTAGCGCTAGCCAAATTCAATATCAAAACTCACCCCTCATAGAATATAAAAAATATAACTTTTTAAAATCTTTTCTTTAATAAAATATCAAGGGATTTTTCTTTCGTAGCTAGAAAAGGTACATAAATGGTAACAGTGAACTATTCATAAACCCCCGCTAGTGATAAAGATGTCGGACACAATATCAATGGCACTGTATTTTAAGGTCACTCATCTCATACACACATTTGCCATCAAAGCCTCTTTTTGAAGATCAGCTAATTAACTCCTGAAAATGGAAAATGTGACAGTTTAAATAAGTGCTTACTTATTGACAGGAAAGTCAACTCTATGCTGCAGTACATAGTTCTTTGTAATGTCAAATGGCAGTTACAATATCAGACGATTCTCGTATCATCAGATCCTATTAATCCATCTCTGAAAATTGCTTTTTTCCAAATAAAAGTTCAATTTTTTTTTCCTCATAAGAGTTCCTGTTACAGTTAATTAGAAGGTCTGCTTAGAGCTTTTTAACATGCTCGACAGATACTGTCTCATTAGCTAAAGCTCATAAAATAAGTCCTATTTCCATTTGTTAAGATGCCACCTTCTGTGTGAATGCTGCATTGAACTACTGTACCTTGTTGGGTTTGGGTTTTTTTTTTTCCTCTTCTTCAGGATTGCAGATTTTTCTGGATTTTCCTTTTAAAATGCATCTGATTCAGCCCGGAACCTCACCTGTTTGATTGTATAGTGATAATCTGAAAACTGCCAAGTCTGTGTTCAGAGTATTATGCACAAAAAATTACACAAGTCTAACAGGTTATATACACCTCCCAACACACCTTGGTGTGGACAGCCTGCCTTCTAATTTATATATAATTTACAAAATATAGAATTTGGTATTTGTTAGATCTCCATGTTTTCAATATTACAAAATAAAAAATACAAAAAAAAAACCAAAACAAAAACAAAAACCCACAACAAATTTCAGGGGAGTTCTCTCCCACAAAGTGTCTCTTGTTTACATCTAGTCTTTCCCATGTAAACTGATATATACCGAGGATGAGCACAGAAGACTTTGTAATAAATATGTTTGTCCAACCTTCTTTCTTGATCTTGATCTTCCCCGTCAGTAGATGTGCCAGCCCCGCTCAGAAGAGCAGTCATTGAGCCATGTAAAAGAAGGGAGAAAAGAAGGCCAGGGCTAAAACGTCTTCTCACACTAAAACATTAACGATGCCATTCTAAAAGGCCTTTTTGTGTGCTGCAACAGTGGGTGTCAATTTTGAAAGCCCATTCAAAACAGCTAATAAAAGCACAGTGGTACACTTCAAATAGCTGGCAGTATGGGATGGAAACGTTATGGGAGTGCAAATCCATTCCAAAATAATGCTTTGTAGTGAATCATACATTCCTTCAACCAAGTAAATGTTGTGTTGCGTCAATAAATACTTAAATAGCTTCTTAGATCATCCTGCAGTAGCAGCCTTGGTAAGAACTCCAAATTCACGTCTTATCTGTGAATGCTGTAGTACACATCTTTGGTCGGTTTAGCACTCAGCCAGGAGCAAATCCCAGGTGGTTTCTCTCCATTGCCTTTGGGGACAGGTGGCCAAAGAGTTTGCTGATACCAGCCCTAGAGTCACTGTGTGAAATTTCAACTGCTTTGCATTTTTAAGTGATTCTTCTCCGAGTCACAATCTTCTGTAATGCAGATCCCACCTTTGAGCGATGCTGCAGTTGGTGCTAACTAATTGGAGGCCCTTCATTTAGGAAGTAGGTGGTCATTTCTCCTTTGCCTTTGACCTTAATGACCCCTCGGTATTCCAGCTGATAGTTGTTGGCTGCTAAAACCTGGTACATGTCTGTGGTAACCTGCGGAATAAATGAGAGTTAGCAAGTGCCTGTCATGCTTTCCACACAGTCTGTTCATTTGCTTTTGGGGTGAACAACAGGTAACGTTAAAGGAGGATCGTTCTGTTTCTAAGTTGACTCTCCTATCAGTCACTGAGAGATTGGATATCAAAAGCTGCAGAACAAACACAGCCTTTAGAAACCGAGCAGCTACAGAAGCCATACAGGTACACGAGTTGGAGAGAGCTGCACTTTCCAAGGCATAACTTTTAGGTATTTCGCTGCTCTCAGTTACCAACACTGGGGCTCAAAGCGTAATTTGCAAAATCCTATCAGGCACTTCAACCAACCAGACCTCAAGATTTTGAGATCTAACTCACAGCACTTGAGGTTTTTAGCCCCACCGACAGACCCATCGTGTGAACATCACATAAACATTAACTCCTCACATGAACTTTGACAAACAAGCACCACAAAAACAGCAGTAAATTCCTGTTAATTCCTATCTGCTCAGTGGCAAACCCTTTCTTACTTTGTATTTTCTCATCCTTTTTCAGGTAGCTTCTAGTATTTCCATGCCTGCCTTCCTATTGCTGTAATGTTGCTGTATTGTTTTGCTTAACTTGAAGAAAAATTGTTTGGGGACTGTCTTGAGGGACAGTTTAAATGGTGTTGGATAAATACTGATCCAGATTGATCTGGTTACCTGACAGCTGAGTTGGAAAGAGACAACATGAACTTTCCCTCTCGGCTTTCACATCAGTTACTGTAATTATTTTTTACATCTCTTCAGTACTTTCCTAGGGAACAACAATCTGCAGGTGTGGGCATTGGCTCAGCAAAAGCAGGACAGCAAAATGAATCCCTGGGAATGTCACTGCCTGAGCACCAAGGAGATGCCTGGATTGCAGCTTTCCATTAACCAGTTTAACTGCCCTCACTCTTCAGGTTGTTACTCCCATTCCGGTAATGCCTGGCTCCTGGCTAGCTTCACAACAGGGAAGGCACAGCAAACAGAGAAGTGACAGACAGAAACACATTTGTGACTCAAATCCTCGCAAAATCAAACAGCCCACACTTGTGTGCAGTCCCACAGGGTGGGTGGCAGGCATCACAGCTGGAAGGAAACTCAGCTCAACACTTCCACTCAGAACTACTTTGCAAGTGTTTGACCCAAGGCTGTTCCATTGGTCAAAATTAAAGGCATAACGTGATGCTACCACTGGCATCCCCCGGTTTGCTTTTCTCTCAGTGCTGTGTAAGTAAGTATATGACATAAATGAATAAAACACAAATTCCAATTCTGATGAAGTTGCAAAAAACCCTAAGTGACACAGGCAGTATAAATGAGTGCTCCAGTGAGCGCCTTACCTGAATCCTGTCGGGCACCCCTGTGCTGTCCATTCGGCTGGCTACATTCACCGTGTTTCCCCATATGTCATACTGGGGCTTACGTGCCCCTATCACCCCAGCTACAACAGGACCAATATTAAGGCCTAGAAGTAGGGGAGAAATGCATCACATATGAAGCTTGAGGCAGGTTGTTTTTCAGTCAGGAAAAGACATCATAAATTAAAGTTGGCTGCTTTGATCAGCTGCTCAATCCACAGCTATTTTCCAATGCCAGACAATGGGATAAGGGTTATTTGCCATCCAGCTGCCAAGCATTGGACATCTGTACACAGCTACTGTGATGCTGGGCAGTTGCAAGATGGGCACTGTGGCAGCCTGAAAGCCTCCTGAGTAAACTCAACACTGGACATCCTCACTCTTTAATCTCCTCTCCTGTCTCTTTTATTCCACTGTCCAATACCAGCTGTTGAATGGCACCACTGGGAGTGCGGGCAGGAGAGCACATCGCAGGTGCAGTGAGCCCAAGCAGAACCACCCCGTGTGACCATGCTGTGATAACAGATTCTGTGCACAGAGGACTGTTGCTCAATCACTCCTGGTTCTCCAGGGAGCTTTGGTAATAACATCTCAGCCTTAACTGAACTGCTCTGACATTTCACAGAGGCTGAGGCAGGCAGACTATTATTTTCCTGTCACTGGGTACAGAACAATCAACGTCCCTGCACAGCTAAGGTAATGTCTATGTAGTTTCCTCTCTGTAAGATCCCTAGCTCAGAATGACAGCTACCAATACTTAATCCCATAAACAGTGACATTACCTATCTTCATCTGGAAGTTGTTGAATGAATGTTCATTAATGTATTTCATTTGGTCCATTAACCTCATGGCAAAATCAGCCAGAGCTTTGATATGCGTCTTCCCTTCCTTGTCGTAAGTGGAGTCGTTGAGGCCTGACGCAGCCATATATGTACTGCCAATGGTTTTGATCTTCTCCAGCTGCCGAAATTGGTCTTCACTTATTATCTGTTACACAGGAGAATTGCAAGGGAACTGAATAAACTTGTCAAATGCATACATGCTGGCAAATCCTTGCCAAGTACCCTGCCTTGATACAAGCACTACATAGTGCTGGACAGAGTCTCCAGTACTCAAATTACAAAAGGAAAGGGGATTAATCATTCTGAGGATGGACAAGGGAAGGAAAGGGACTTTCATCTGAAAGAAAAAGAATTAAAGATTTCTGGAGTGAGGAGAAATGAAACATGACACGAGGATTCAGTAAGCCACCTTCCTTCATAAGCTCAGCAAAGCCCAAATAAATGAACTCATCGCTCAGTTTTCTTTAGCAACACGATTTTTCTGTGACTTACTTCATCAAAATCGGCAATGATCTCATTGAGCAGCCTCAGGCACTCCACCCCCTCATTGTTGGCCTCCAGTTCCACGTAAAACTCAGAGAAGTTGCTTATGGAGGCGAACATGACAGCCACACACTCGCAGGACTGGTAGTACAGTTCATCATTCCGCCGCTCCTGAGCCAAGAAATGGGCTGCCACATCCTTCGGCAAAATGTTGTGGAGGAGGCGTCTGTTATAGGCCTGCAGCTCCTCCATTTCTTCTTTCTCTTCAGTGGCCTAGTTTAGGAGGTGAGAGTGACACGCTTATATCTTTGGGTAACTGCTCTGAAGGAAAGAAAAAAGCTGAGCACGAGCTTGCAGGGAGGACAGAAATAGAAGAAAGGGGGGAATGGCAAAGGAGGGCAGAGACGAGCAGTGCAGGCTCACATTTTGCAGTGGAAGACTGTGTGTCTGTGTGCCCGTGTATATAAAAGCCAAAGGGCCTTTCTGCCTGGCTGAGTACATGGTCCCTCCTTTTCCACAAGGTTTATGGGGTACTATGATGGTCATAACATACACTTATGGAGCCCATGAAACAGGTTGGACTGACAGGCTGAAGAGGATTTTTCACCAGCCTGTAAAGCCCTCGGCTCCGGTGGTAGAAGGGGAACTTCTGGGCAAAGGGGACCATGAGGAGAATGGGCTGCTTTGTTTTTGTTCTAACAGATGTGGACTTGAGGCTGGAACCAGAACTTCCAGCAGGATGTCTTCAGTACTAGCATTGCCTCAGGTCATTGTTTAAAGTTTGTAGGTAGAAACGTAGAGATGCTTGCTTCTCTCTCTTCCTTTACCCCAGTATAAGCAGCAATATTTTACCCCTTGTTTTACTTTTTGCTGTTTTGAATATTTCTAGGAAAAGACCAATGGACAAAAGCAGGGTCAGGCAATAACTGCAGAATGCACAACAAGCTGAAGGGACACTGTGCAGTTCAGCTTATGGGTGCCCCAGAGCCATCCTGTGCACCACTTGCTCAACAGAGGCAGCAGTCAAAATTCTAACACTGCAAAGCCCTTTAAAACAGGTTTTCTTTTAATTTCCTTCTCCCCTCCCCCTCCCCCAAATGACTTTTGCTACTGCTGGAGAGCTGGAGTCAAAAAGAGAGCAAATCTGGCACTTTTGCACTCCATGATGGACTAACGCAGCACAGCCATCCGTATCAGCCACCACATAGAAGGGATTACTGTTCCAACATCCCTCTGCCACATGCTAGCAAAGGGACAAACAGGAGCTGCAGAGCACTTTGCATCTTTTCTGGTTTCTAAAACAAGATGTTTGAAACTGGAAATGGGGTTAAGCAAAGAAGGATGTTTTAGAAGATATGTCCAGACAGAACAAGGAAAACATTTGGCTCTGCCTGGAGAAACAGTATGCTCACACTTGGGACAGCCAAGTCGGCTCATCTCTTCTGTTATTTTACCATTTATAAATGAGGATAACAATGTTTGTTGATCTGCTTCCTAAGGAGCTTTAATTAATTGCTTCTTCCGCAGCGATTCCTACTAAAATCAGTGAAGTTACTTATTAGAATGATGTTCTTCTATCCAGAAGGTAAAAATAATCTATAGGAGACCTGTGTTCTCCAGCTGTGAGCCGAGGGCTGAGCTGAGACGCGTTCTGCTTGAGAATCACACAGGATGCCCTAATGTCACTCATGGGCACACACAGTAGAAATACTAACAACAGACCCAGGGATGGGAGCAAAGCAAGGCACTGTCTGTAGGATGTTGGTTATCCAGCATTGCTTCCTAGTGGCTAATGGAGCCTGGATACTGAGCCACTTCCACTGCTTAAGAGTGAATGAAAATCCAGCTGTGAATCTTTCACATCCCTGAACACAAACTGACGCTGAACGATGGGAAACAAATCAGCAGTGAGTAAGAGCTGCTTATCTTTACAGACGTTTTATGACAGGTTTCTGCAACAGTGACATGCTCAGGTGCTTCAGTTTGTTCTAGATCTTCAGATCTATGATATTCTATGGCAGGGACCACCCCAAGTGCATTTACAAGGAAATAGAGTATTAAACGACCAGGATGAGAAGCACTCAGAAGGCAAAGTACAAAAGAAATGAACGTTACTAGTATGCCCAGTTATACATCAGATTCAGCTTACATTCAAAGGCATTTTATAACACTCCGAAAGTTATGAATAACTCAGCAGTTTCATACTAACCCCAAAGACCAGATTGCTCAGCACAGCGATGTCCACTAACCTGGAGTTTCCAGAGGAAGTCAAGCCTTGCAGTGGATTCCACTTGCTGGGCGTGCAAGTACAGTGCCAGGACAAAGACTGTAATGATTACAGGGGTGACGATCTTCAGTGCAACTCGTGTCATTGTTGGAGAGCTGTGGCCAAAAAGGAGCAGGATTGCCAGGTTATTCTCAGTGTGAAGGGACACAGCTCAGCCACACATCCCAGTTCTCACTTCAGGACTAACCAAGCTCTGAAGAAATGGCATTTTTCCTTCCCCTTGAAGCCCACATTGGTCAAAGGAAAGCAACACCTGAAAAAAAACCTCAGGACTTTGGACTACAGGTGCTGGTTCCTAAAGCAGGACCTTGAAATTAGAAATGCAATCCAAGTTCCTAACAAATGTTAACATTGACCTAAAAATCATTTTCAAGAGAGCAGCCATACATGCTCAGCCACTTCTACACTTGGCAAAACCAAAATACTGACACCTCTTCAGACTGCATTTAGTGTCTTGCACTGCCTTCCCTGGCTTCCAAAGTCTGGAGCTGTTCTACACTTACTGCTTTACTAATTAGCAGCTTTAAATGTCAGCAAGTTTGCTGACGACACCAAGCTGAGTGGTGCGGTTGATACGGTGGAAGGAAGGGAGGCCATTCAGAGGGACCTCGACAGGCTGGAGGGCTGGGCTCGGGTGAACCGAATGAGGTTCAACACGGCAAAGTGCAAGGTTTTGCATTTGGGCCGGAAGAACCCCAGGCACCCGTACAGGCTGGGAGGAGTGGTCCTTGAGAGCAGCTCGGCAGAGAAGGACCTGGGGGTCCTGATGGACGAGAGACTGAACATGAGCCAGCAGTGCGCTCTGGCAGCTCGAAAGGCAAATGGGATCCTGGGCTCCATCAGGAGAGGGGTGGTCAGCAGGGACAGGGAGGTGATTGTCCCTCTCTACTCGGCTCTTGTGAGGCCCCATCTGGAGTACTGTGTCCAGGTGTGGAGCCCTCAGTACAAGAAAGACATTGAGATTTTGGAAAGGGTCCAGAGGAGGGCCAGATGTCCAGAGGACTAAGATGATCAGGGGGCTGGAGCATCTCCCCTATGAGGACAGGCTGAGGGAGTTGGGCTTGTTCAGCCTGGAGAAGAGAAGGCTGCGGGGTGACCTCATTGCAGCCTATCAATACCTGAAGGGAACCTACACCCAGGAGGGGAGTAAACTCTTCAAAAGGGCTGACAACAGCAGGACTAGGGGAAATGGATCCAAGTTGAAGGAGGGAAGATTTAGGTTGGATGTTAGGGGGAAGTTCTATACAAGGAGAGTGGTTAGGCCCTGGAACGGGCTGCCCAGGGAGGTTGTGGATGCCCCGTCCTTGGATGTGTTTAAGGCCAGGTTGGACGGGGTCCTGGGCAACCTGATCTGAATGTGTGTGTTTGGTGGCCCTGCTAGGCAGGGGGGTTGGAACTACATGATCCTTGAGGTCCCTTCCAACCCGGGTGATTCTGTGTGATTTAAATGTCATTGTTTTATAGAAATTCCAATAGCTGAGAAGAACATTAGCATACATTCCCAACCCTTCCGGCAAGCCAGCAAATAAAAATGGTTTGAATACCAATGTTAGCATGAAAATATTTTGATAAAAGCTTCAGCTTGTAACTCCAAGTATGATCTGTGTGGTGCTCTATAAAGCAAGTTCTCACAGGGAGAAGGGTGCTCAGGGAGCATCAGTTGAGATAAAAGAGCACTACTCACTGTATTTAGGGCATTTGTACTGCGTTGCCCCAGAACACAGCAGTGTACATACAAGTACCAGGCACTGCTGAGAAGTCAGTGTGCTGATACTGCGCCTCGGGAACAGAAAATACCTACTGATAAAACCCATACAAATACGTAATGCCAAAGAGACTCACCATGGTAACGTTGAATTTGTTGACATGCTGGAAAAAAAAAACAAAAACACATAGACATGGTTAGTGGAGTGCTTTGCTGCCTCCAGCACCCGCCCCTCTGCACATAATCCAACAGAACCTCTGCAGTGTGGCACTGCTGACGCTGAGTGGGGCTGTAGCCCTTTTAAAGCAGTCAGCAACAGAAAGATGAGGGGAGAAAAAAGGACCTTGTGTGTGATTGTGCCACGTGGTTAACATGGTTAGAACACCTAAGGAGCCTTCAGAGTCAGAGAATCATTTGGGATTTTAATGTCGGTGTGGGATATTTAGCAAACGCTTGTGCATCTGTCACTGCTTCATTAGGTCAGGCATTAAAGACTGATTTAAAGGAGCCTTGGGTGAACGGCTCATGAGAGATAGTTACCTTCTTCCCCATGCATTCTAACACAGAGACAAGCCTAGCCCCTTTACCCCATCACTACTCACTTCTGCAAGGTGCTCATCTTCTGTGCTGTGCTCAGCTACACGTACTGCACATGGGAGCACCGAGAAAAGCCTGCTGCAGGTTGCTGTTTCTGCTCACTGCACTTGGCATGCAAAGGGCACCTATGAAGCAGAGCTGCTGAAGATGGAGGGCGAGCTTTTCTTACAGTGAAAGGATGGAGAAGAGCTTTCTAGTAGGTAGCAGCTGGCTGAGTTCCTGACTTATCGATTGCTTTAGTGCTGCTGGTTTTTTCTCAAGTGTGGGTGGAGTATTAGGTGGCTGAGAACCAATATATGTATCTTCTAAAATACTGTTTATTTGGAAAGCAAGCAAGCACTGGATTTGCTTGTCCTGACTATAGTGATGTTGATGCACTTAGAGATTTGCAGGCTGCTAATGGGATACAGTTCTAGCTGAGAATCTCACATTTGGCCAGGTGTGTCAGTCTGCAGCTTGCTCGTGCTACACAGAGCTAGAAATGATCAGAACTGAAAACACTGAGGGAACCTAACTGGGCATAAAATTAAAAAAAAAATAAAAGCATAGCTACCCTCTAATCTTGTTTGTTAAAGATATCTCCTGCAGCTGTGAGCATGCAGTTCCTTCTGACATGGATTCTGCAACCCGTGCTGCCTTGCACAGATGTTTTCCCTTGGCCAGCTCCAGCGCTGACCACACAATGAAGCCCAGCTTGTGTGTGGCTGGGGACGCAGCTCCGGGGCCAGCTCCTACATTGCAGGATGGATCCAGTTGGAGCTAGAGATGTCTGGTGCACGCAGCATGGCTCTTCAGCTCCCCTAAATCACTGCCTGGTCAGGGATGACTGCCTGCTCTCATTATCTCTCAGTCTTACAACCAGGCTGTGGAAGATCTGACCCTCTGTGCTGAGCCTGCAGCTCACTGTGGGTGTAATGCTTGCTCTAAAATCCTCAGCAGTAACACAGACTATGGAATGCAGCAAACGAGCTCACATTGGCCCATCGCATCTTGAAATCCAACACGTTATTATAATCTCCTGCGTAGCATAAAGGTAAGGCAGTGAACAGTAGCTCTGAATCCCTTTGTACTTCCCGTGTCACCGTGCTGGTATGGCACTACAGTCAGGATGAGCAAATCCCAACATACTGCAGTCAGCTCTTCAGTTGCTTGCATGCTGGTTGGTTTGTACACAGAAGTGCGAAGCGACATCTGCATCACTTCTAATTAGTCAGAGCCCAATAATGGCTGCAGAACAGACAGTAATTATGGAGCTACAACAGACAACCAATTAAAGTAGCATTAGGTCATTATTGCCTTTTTTTTGTTTTTAAACTACCAGCTGGACAAGAAGGTCCATCTCTGAGCCACGCATCACACTCTGAGCTCCCCAAATGCACAGAGGGACTGCCAGGCTTTGGGGCAGTAAGCAGCTGTCCTTAGGGCTCTCAGGACAAAACAAATGCAATTTAATGAGAGAGAATATAGCACCACACAAAATTATTTCTGGGAAAACCTGCTAACCTTTTTCACTTTGTTACTGACATCTTGATTGTGGAATGACGTAAATTATACTTCTAAGTGCTCTAATTTCACTTAGTGCTTGACTTACAAGAATTAAATGATATTTGGGATATAAAACCTTTTGTTTCTTGAATTCTGTTAGAAAATGTGAAAGAGCTTCCACTGTTGGACTACACAACATCTGTAAAAAGAAGTGAGGGAAAACCTCATTCTCCCACACCCTCACAGAAAGCTCCAAGGGGTTTCCTACATGATTTTATTTGTACGAATTAACAAAATAATTTAAGTGATCACTGCCAATGGATGTAAAAGTCACACCTCCATCAATTGTTAAGGGCTACGCAGAAATGGTAAAAGTCATAGGATATTTATGCAGAGGACAGAAGTAACCAGGCACATCCAGCTTGTGGGGTTGAATGAGTATCAAGAAATTTGAGCAATTACACAAGCTGCTTTTTAAGCATACAAAACAACATAGGACCACAGACGTATCCTCAATCACCCTCCTGTCTCAAGACTGAAACGACCTTAGCTATAATCCTTGACTGATAATTTACCTAAACTGTCCTTTAAACCATCGGTGTTGGAAATTTTTCCTCTTCAATTCTCTCTCTCCTTACCAGATCTTTACCATTAGAGAGCTTCTCATGCCTATGCAAATATCCTTTGCTGTCACTTAAGTCATGACTTCACGTTCTACCCACACTCAAGCACAACTGTTGCCCACAAGGGGAAGTCATCAAAACAAGTAGTTAACAAAACAATCCAACTCCAAAGCTGTTAAGGAGGACGAGTTTATGAATGTGCCTCAATTACCTCCCTGACGTGCCCTTCAGGGGAGGAGCAACCCTCTCCTGTCATTGGATGGAGGTTGGAACCACGATTAATATGTGACCTGGTGAAGACAAACTACCTTTTTAGCAAAAAAAGGCACCTGGCTACTCCCAACCAGTCCAGGTCCCACAGCTGAGGATGTCATGGTGAGACCAAGGTGATGCAAACACGTGGCCAAAAGCAGCTGTAAGGAGATCCCTAGCCAAATGTCAACCACCACATGATGCCAGCTGTACAATCAATAGGTGCACAAAGGTTAGGCTTAGTAAGGTTGTCGCGACGGTAAGATAACCAAAATAAAGGAATGCTCACCAGTGTCGCAGGCTCGCAGTAAACTCCACCAGGAGCCATCTCCAGAAAGAGATGCTTCCTCAGTGGCAGTCAGCACTTAAATGGGATCTAGGAGAAGTGGAGCCAGCTCACCCCTTCCAGTAGCACAGGTGAACTGCCTTCACCTGTGCTCCCACAGCTGACTCACTGCTTGCCTTAGGTGGTCAATCAGAGGTTCAGGCTGTGATCAACAGTTCCCATACACAACCCCAACCTGGCTGTGACACACCAGATGTCTAAATATTGCAGTGGTTCGTTATCACATCCCTGAGCCACCTCAAATTTGCTGGAGATGTTTTTCTTTTTGAGAAAAGACATTTCTATATTGAGACTGTATTATCAGAAGAAGTGAGAATGACTAACTGCTCCCCATTTCAGGAAGAAAAATAACACAGATCCACTCTGATTGCAGTTATATTTTGTTATTAATAGGCAGTTCATTAGTCAAATCCCAGATTTAAAAGTTCTTAAAGGGAACTGTGATCCCCAACCCTGAAGAGTTGAAGTGGCTTTAATTTACAGCTGTGCCTGCCCTGCCACCATGCCCTTGCCTTGCTTGCACCATGGCCTTGGCACTCCCATGGCTGGAATCACTGGCTGAAAGAAATAAGGTGAAGATTTCAGAAGTGAAAGGCACTTACTAGGTGTTAGCTGTAACCAGGAGATCTGCATTGTCAAAAAGGTTCACCCCTGGCACTTCCACAATGAGAACATATATAAATTCAATGATTAACATAAGGATCAGTTTTCCAATACAGCTGATCTGAAGGAACACAGAGCAGGCCAGGAGACTCAATAAGACACTGTAGGTAAAGTACTGTATAAAGACAAAAAGGGGAAAAAAAAACAGAAGAAAAATGAATGTCAGCAGGATAAATCAAATTTGAAAACAAAGGAAACTGAACAGAGGGATAAGAAAGGGATTGGGAGTCATGTGGTTGAGTTGAATGAACATGTAAACTGGGTTCTGCGTGTGGGATCCTCCAACATTACAGGGGATTTAAATGTTAAATCTGAACTGAGGACAAATATATTGTTCTGGTTTGAACACTATTTGTTTTACACTCTAGAGGCACAAGGCTCACAGCTGTAGACCCAAAAGCTGTGGTGCAGGCTCACCCTGGACATAGCTGTTAAATTAGCAGAAAGCATCAACCAATTATGCTGGAATACTTCCTGTTTTAAACTAAAATTCTGGCCTTGAAGCCAAGTATTTGCACATTACACGAAACCAAGGGAATTAAGAATTCCCACTGTCGTGACTTACGCATCCACTCGAGGCCAACTGGAAGGTATTACCCTGCTAATGTGACACTGAACCCACTGGCAAGATACAGGCTGGACACGCTCCTACCAACGCTGATCACTTTTTCTACCAGATGTTGCAGGAACAACACGTGTGGATGTGTGGGAGCAGAGCCCTCTGCCATGCTTTGCTTTACCAGTCACCAGGCACAAACTTCTGCCATTCTGACGCTGAATGTTTAGCGTGCCAGTGCTTTCAAATGTGGTTGCAGGTTGTGAGCTCAGTGTACGGCTCCTGGGAAAGCTGGTATAGATGTAAAACCAAAAGAGGCATGTTATCCATCTCATCACCTTCCAGGTATCAAATCTGTGAGGCTTTAAGCTTTCACTCTCCACAGACAGAGTGTACCAGATTGTGTCTGAGACAGTCCATCCTTTTGAAAAAGGTTAAAAGCAAGCCTTACTTGAAGAATAAATATACTTATGTTCTGAGCTCATATATTCTATTTGAGAAAATCACTTTACAGCTTGTTAATTGCCTCCTCAGCTTCTAGAAAATGTGTGGATGTTCCTTGTGGCTGAAGGGCAGGATCCCACAACATCCTGAAAGCACACTGGGAGCAACAGGCAGCAGAAGCACCAGATCCAACATCCACCCTGCAGAGCACAGGTCTCCCCCTCCTTAGCCCATTGAACAGCAGAGGCTCAAAGTGGTGACAGCATCCCCTGCGTGCACAATGGCTGCTCCCCATTGCTTAGAAACATCCCTATCCTGAGCCATCATCACTCCTCCCCACCTTCTGATGGGCACAGACTGTTTCCAGCTCTCCATCATGCCAGATTTTGCTACTGGGTCTTTCTGGGACACACTCAGGGCCTTTGCAGGGTTGAAAGCCAATGTAATGCTAGTTAGAAAAACCTCACTGAATCAGACTGTGACAATATTTCCATTAGGTTAAATGGAAACCTGTTCAGTAGGACACCAGGGACATCAGTAGCATCTTGGATATCTGTATGGTTATAAATCAGGCATAAATCTGAGAGATCCCCAATAATCCAGATGACCATGACGTAAAGTCCCAAATCCTGAGAGCTGTGACCTAAAAAATCATGGAAAGATTTTGAATAGCTAAGCAAAAAGGTGATTTTCCTGGGAAAGTATTCTACCTCTGTGTAAAAGGTATTTGCTTTTTGCCATTAGAAACAATCATAAAAGCTTTCCAATTATTCAGCCCTGAGGGAACTTAAACATGAATGTGGACTAATGACAACAACTTCAGACACCTGAGTTTGTGTTGGTCCTATAAGATCACCCAGGAGCAACCTCCTTTCCTCTGAATCATTGAGATCTACTGCACACTTTTACTCCCCCTTCTCAGATCAAACAAATGCAGCCCATTTATTTCAAGCAGTACCTCTGGAAAGTTGCAGTTGGGCAAAGGATTGTCACAGAATCCCTGCAATGTGCCCAGGCTGTAGTTGGAAGTCAGGTTGCTGATAAGGCATATGTCCACCCGGTCAGGAGTGATGTTGTATTTTGCAGCCATGCAGCTGGCAAGATCCACAGTGCTGCACATGAACTGAAGAAAAAGATGAGATTAAACTGAAAGGCACAGACAAGGAAGAAAAAAGCAAATAGTTTGTAACAATTAAAGAAGCCCTTGAAAATGGCTCCAGCAAGGAAATTAAGCGATGTACAAAATTAAATCACCAGGCTGTGTTTTACTATGTATACCAGTAAGCACTGCCTCAGCTGAGGCTGTAACTGAAAGCAGAGAGCCATAAGGAGCCTTTGGAGCTACTCCCAAGTCCCAGGGCCATCTCCAGTTTTCTCCCTTTCTTAAAAATTGAAGTAGATGTATGTAGGGGACAGAATATTAAAGTGGTTCTTTTAAATACTTGCAGCCTTGAAGCCATTTGTACAAGTGAGAAACCAGCACCTGCAGGGTCCTAGACAATAGCCAGTCTCCCTCCAAGCCTGAAATCAGCAAACGTGGTTGCATGCAAAGCAAAACCAGCCTGGTCCCAACAGTGCAACTTAAAGCAAAGTCTTTCTGCCCCTGGTAAGCGATAACTGCACTCGGAGCAAGACTTGGCACTGTGCAGATGGCCAGAGCAAAGCCCATGCACCACTTCAGTCCCACTCACTGCTGTGGGAGTTAAATGATGCACAGGCCTCGTGCTGGCCCTTCGTGCTGGAATAAGTGTCAGCCTCGGTGGACTTGTAGCAAAAAGCTTTTACAGAATCAGGAAAGAACGCGGGCCGAAGTGAGCGCTAGGCACACAGCAGGCTATCAGCATGCAGCTGTCTGCCTCCCGTTTCCTCTCTGTGCCTGAAAAGCAAAAGGGGACTGACCTCAGATACTGTGAGCATTAGGCAGGATTACATTAAAGCCAGTGGTTGTAAGGGTCACGCTGCTGCAATGCGTCAATAAGGACACCATAAAGAACTTAGTGGGCTGAGGGAATTGATGCACGTACCATGTTGACAAAGGCAGACAGAAAAACCAGGATAATGGCAAAGACTCCGACTAAGGTACTATTGGTCCTGGACTGTACAATCTTCTTAGAAAGAGTCTGGAGTGGTGCTGGGAAAAGCTGGATGTGGGGGGAGAAAAAAAAAAAAAAAAAAAAAAAGACTAAATAAACATATGAAATCATTGCTTATTTAACAAATTGCAACTTGCATTTGAGCTGCCCACATCCTTCAGTGCGGTGTCTGTGTGGATGCTGCACAGGGGTCACAGAACGGCTGATGGGATGACAGCTCTGGGACAAAGGCAGGCAGGAACGTGACGGACTTGTGGTGGAATTTGCTTATTCCTTCCCAATGGGGAACATTCTGCCTGATCTTAGTTTGTGAGCTGTGATAGCACTGTTCACAGGGCTGCCCTCATCCTGCTGGGAGAAGCAAACCATAAGCCACCTGTAATTGAAATAACAAGGAGCTGGAGCTTTTAAATCATTGGATCCAGCTTCTGAAAAAGCAGAAATTATTATTATTTTTTTTTTTTAAAAAAAAAGGAAGAAGAAAAGTGTTACATCCCTTTGATCAAGAAGCAATACTGCAGCACTTTGTGGTGCCATTTCAGCAACGCAGTTAAAAGGCCCTGGCCAGCCCTGTGCTCTGTTCCACCCTGGATGCAGAAACCAGCTGGCCTCGGCTTGTCTGCAGCACACACAGGGGGCTAAAAATAACCTCTGCTAAGGGCAATCCCTGCACTTCCCTAAACAGCCCATCCCAGAGATTTGCTGTTATCAAAGCTGGAAGATTTCTTCTAATTGCCTTTTAACCTTACACCTGCAGCACTCTTGGTCTCCAGGTGCTGTGTTGCACCCTAGAAAGAAGCAGTCTGTGCTAAAACCTAACGAGGAGTGCTGTGCTGCAGGGGTCACACCTCAGCATCAGCCAGACCTCCTTGCACTACACCAATGCAAGACCAGAGACACTGAAACAAACCCTTTCTCTTCCCATTGTCTTTATTGACTCAATACCACCAATCCAGAGCATGCTCAGGATCCCAGCAAGAGGTGGACACAGCAGATCCTCCATCACCCTGTGACTGGGGAGCGCTGGCCCTGCAATGCCTGTCCCTTCCTGGCTGCTGCTCCAAGGACTCTGCTGAGGACTGCCAAAGTTTTCCAGAATCCAACTCCCCATCCCCACACACTGCATGAATAACCAAGCCACCAGAAGGTATTTTTAGAGACACAAAGAAGCTAGCAGCACAGCGACATGGCACTGCAATTTAACTATGACTAATGTGTCTATTAAAAGTCCTGCTTTTCCCTTTTATCCTTCCCTCTTACATCTTTAGAGATGCAACAATTTGTCAGTGCATAGCTTCCCACACAGCGACCCTACAACGTAATTACAAAGCAACTGAAGCACTGATTTGTTGGTGACTTTCACAGGAGGAAAAGAGAGGCCAACACAGTGGGAGTTTCCTCCAGGAGGGAGGAGAAGGCTATTGTCTGTTTGGGGTACTGACCAATTTGCACTGGATGAAAATGGATTGAAATCCATGGAAGGCTTATACAATCCCTGGGCTCAGGTGGTCTCTTTCTGTATTCTTTGGCAAATCAGGCACTAAGTAATGCTTGGGAATGCTTTGCTGTGAATCTTGGCTCAAGCCTCTGCTGCCAGCGATCCCCAAAAAAGCCTGACTGTGAACCAAGCATGAGATATCAAGCAAAGCCATCAATGAAAGACACTTGAAGTTTAATGAAAACATGTTGGATTTGGGGTTTTTTTTTGTATTAATCTTGATTCTCCTTTACAAAATAGGGAAAACCTTAGGTCAGCAAACAAGTGCAGCTGGAAAAAGTCCTGAGGAGGTAACAAATGCCAGAAGCCATAGGAGGTTAGGATTGCAATGGAGAGCACAGCAGCACAGCTGTGCCTCGCATCTGAGCAGCCTCTGCCTTAGGAACAGCCTTCAGGAACACTGCACATGTGTAACCTCTCATTTTACAGAGGCACTCACAGTGACCAGTAATACTTGAGGTTTGGAAGATCTCTGTGGTAGGAACGGGGGACCTGTCTCAGCTCTAGGAGGTCAGCTCTGCTCTAGCAATGTTCCTTCTATGAAGGTAGCCACAAGTCAGGGCTATAACAACTCCCAAAGAGAAAAAAACAAAAAGAAGGAAAAGTGGATAGCTCTCACAAAATAAAATCCCTTCTGTCCTTCTAAGAGAAGCAGAACAATCAAGATGCTATGGTACAGTGAAAATCTGCTCACTGTTGGTAGTTAGCCCACTGGTTTGTATTGTCCAGCACCCTCTGCTGCTCTTAATACCTCAAATCATGCCTGAATGAAGGACAGAACATGGGAAATAGCACCTCCAAGAGTGTACGTATCCTGAGAAACTGGGCTAAAGGATCTAACTCTGTGACTTTGGCAGCCTGGATTCACACTTGGGTTGCCACACAAGCTTGAGCCTGCTTGTTAGCTCTCGTAAAATACCTGTGTCAAGAAAAATAACCCCAATGGGATAAAGTCAATTCCAGTTCATTCCTCACAGAAATGCGTAAGCACTGCTGGAAGATGTAAGCTCCCTCAAGAATCTCCAAAAACATGCAGGTGCCAAGTCACAGAATCATTAAGGTTGGAAGACATCACTAAGATCATCCAGTCCAAGTGTCAACCCATCACCACTGTGCCCACCATGAATGTGGGCACAGAACACAGAAGGGGAAAGTAGGGCACTGAGTTCCAGGTGAAAGTCCTAATGGAACAAAGCAATAAATACTAGTGCAACACTGAAAATGATCCACATCCATTCATTTGCATGACAAAAATAAGACAAAATAAAATACAATAAATAAAAACTACTCTGCAGCAACAGCTGATCATAGACAGGAAGGTAATATTTCTTCCTTCTATCTTCTTAAGATATACTGTGGACATGGAAAACCACTTAGATAATTGCTGCTGTGTTGTGAGATGACAAGAAAATAGGAAGTCTTTAAGTTCTGAGTTTTCAATTTGTAATAAAAGCCTTTGAGACATTTTGAAGTACGTTAAGATGATTCTGGAGTGAAAGACAGTATCTCCAGACAACTTGATGTTGCAAGTCCATTTATGTAACTTATTTCACCGAGATTTATTAGTCTATAAAAAAGTACAATTTTCAGAGGTACTTCTTCCTTAGCCTGAGAAGAAAAATATAAAATAAAAAGGAGCTTCTAGCCCAGTCTCAGGAGGCAGAGAATCAAGCGAGCAAACTGTACCTATCCAAGGTACAGTCTCAAAATCCTCTTTTTTGAGAGTAAGGGCTAACTTGAACTTTCTGCCGTGTGCACTCCCAGGAACATGCAAGAAGTTGAATTTCATGCAGCAGTTTAGATATCAGGAGTTAAGGGTTTCAAGAAGAAACACAAGCTTGGTAAGTTAGTAGCAAAACAGATGTCTGACAGTGGAGTATTTGTGAAGAGACCATGGTTCTCATGACCTTAGACTCTATTGGGAGAGAACACAATCTCACGGTGGCCAAGTCTTCACGGAGTATCAAAGTGAAGAACTGGAACTTTCTTGTTTACTGAAGCTGAAGGAACTTGGAAAGCCAGACTGACTGTTGGCAGGTCAAGGATCAACTCATAGTCCGTAGAGAATTTTATAGTAGAAGATAATAATGACAGCAAAAGAAAATAAAACATGATCAAGTTGTCCTGAAAGAGCCTGCTGGCCACTGTCAAAGCCAGAGATGGAGAGGCCAAAACAGGGAAGGAAGGAAAAGAGACACTTATCATGTATAGCAAACAGGCAGAAGTTATGCTTACACTGGTATCCTGGGGTGAACACCTGCTTTCCAACTTTGTGTGGAATTAACCACTGGTATGTAAAACACATGCTTTCCTATCCCGCATCCAAGTGTGAAACAAAACAAATAATGCTGATATCTCTGTGCCTTAAAATTTCCTCCAAAGGGTCTGTAAAACTGCCTTCCTCACTTCTGCGTATTGGTAAAAAGGCTTCATGAAGCAACATGCAACACAGTAATAAAGTAATACCCCTTAACCAAGCACTAGCTAAATATGTTGATTAAAAAATTCTGACCCTAAACACCAAAATCTTTGATGACAGAAGCATCAGACAGGTAGCTGACAAGCCAACCATACAGCAGGAAATACCTGTCCCTAAACAAGTCATCTCATAATCAGATGTAAGCTGAGGCAATAAAAAGGAGTAATCAAAAAGCTCTGGAGCCAGAAGGCTCTATGTTTTCAGGATTTGCAATTTGTACATTTAATACAATGGTCACATTGAATGTTAAACGTAATTACACTGTGGGTCTGGAGCAGAATGCTGAAAACACACTTTGGGAAATATTTCATAAAATCCCATTAAATTCTGATGTTATTCTGAATTCAGTTGGTTGCAGGCACCAACAAACAGACCTCATTTACAGGAGCTTGGAAGGTCAAGGCAAAGAAAGCAAGACTGAACATCCTCTCAGGGTCAGAAGGATTGAAGAATGCCATTTGCCTTTTAAATTTATCATTAATTCAGATCAGTAATAATGAAGAAATCAAAAAGTCCCCAAATTAAAACCAAAACCTTTGAATTTGTCAGAAGAAATGAGTGTTGCCATCCGTACGCAGAAGCTTGTAAAAGTGGGTGACAAACAACCATGTGCTTTGAAACCCTCCTGGTGGCAAGTCAGTGAGCTTAAATCCTTCAGAGTTCTGAGTGTACCAGTTCTCAGCTCAAGGGACACAAGTCATCCCATTAGCACTGTTATCTCTGACTTACACATCTCATTGCTGGTGAACAAGCAGGACCAATGAGATGCTGCGCTTGACTCCCTTTAGAAATCTCATGAGCCCAAGGGAAGTTCCATGAGTTGTTAAATTCAAATTTAATCTAAGGCTTTCATTGAGAACAGTTCATAAGCTCTTATTAAACAAGAGGGAAAGCTTGATTCTGCAGATCTGGCTTTCAAAAACCAAAAAGAGGTGAAAGGTGCAAGTCTGTCGAGCTCCCACCTTCAGCTGTTGAAAATGGAACAGGGAAGATAACAAAAGGGAGGTAAATCATCTGCCTGACATAATCCATTACCTAACTGTCTTCTGCAGAAAAATTAATGCTCCTAAGTTATTTTCTGCTAAGTTCTGAGTAACAAAGCTCAGCTTGGATTGAGGTGCCTGAATCTGTATGATTTCCATGTTCAGACCCTGACAGAATAGAAAGACCCCCCAAAAGAGCATATAAAGCCAACTAGCATCAGCAGTTTAATACAAACACCTATGAGTGAAAAAGAAGAGCCTATCACCCTTCCAAAACACTGACTGCCATTTTACCACAAAACGCTAAGAATAATTAGTATGACTTCAGATTTCACACAACAAATTTCTCTGCTTATCAGAAACAGTTCAAGAATGAGCTCTGTATACTCATCTGAGAATGGCTGATAAAGTTATATATGTTTATGGCTTTTATTTCCCCCCAGGACATTTTTCCTTGATGATATTTCACTTCTGATTATCTGCCTACCCAAACACGCATATGCAGCAGGGGACGGCGCACAGGCTGCTCTGCAGGAAGTTTGCAGGGAGGAAACGAGTGATCAGTGTTTTGTTCCACATTGGGAAATGTGATCTTCTTATATCAATATGAGAGTGCCTGCAGAGAGAGTGGGGACTTAATAGACATGCAGATCCACAGAGTGATTACTGCTTGCTGAGCTAAAGAGATGCCAACCCTAACATCTGTTTGCTGTTCATTCTGTCTTATCAAAGCCTTTTCTGTAACCGTTATCACACAGTGTGGACAGGATGGCTAACAAAACATGCTCTGTTAGCTGAAGAAACAAGTTACTGATCCAGTTAGCTTAGCAAAGGACTCTACAAAGAAAACACATTGCTTACCTTTACACAGGAGTAAATGATGGAAACAAACACCACCGTGGTCAAGATCAGAAAACAGGTCAGGTAAAAACCCAGCATAAATGTAGAGCTGAAAGCAAGGAGATTTATTTTTAATGCATACCATATAGAAAGCTACAGGTCTGATCTCTAGACTATGATATTTGTACAAGCTATGACACACCACACAGGCTTTCCAATTAGGATAGCAGTAGGAGATGCAGGGCGCCTTGAATACCAACAGGTAGGCTGCCATATTTGAATTAGTCACATAGGCTGCAGAGCAGAGAATGCTGCATCTTTTATAGCAATCACCTTCCTGCTGAGGTGACAGCAGAGGGACTGAGAAATATCTCCTGTGCTTGAGGAGGTGATGGAACAATTTATTACAGAGGGTCAGCCCTGCTGGCTGTGGGCTGCAGACCCCAGGCAGGAAAGCGTGCTGTGCACTGCAGTGCAGCTGAGTGTATGTGAAATCCACAGGGAAGGCACATTTCATGTTAAGCTGATGAAACTCTTTTATCTGTGCCCCAGGTAGAGCTGGGAAACCTGGTGCTTTTCTGAGGGAACACACAAGGGAAAAGCTCAGTGGGGACGGCCCTGCCACGTCTGAGCTTCATCCTGTGAGTGGAACAGGAGCAACCATGGCACAAGGATGGGGGTAACAGCTCTAGCCTGGTCAGCTTGAGACGTTCCTCTGCTTTCTCTGTTCCTCTCAACTTTGAAGTACAAACAGGACCTCAGGGCTAACTTTGTACTATGCATTTTTTATGTGTTTCGATCATGGAGATATTCAACAACAATTTTGTAGTGATTGGTCTCAGTATGAAAGGACAGGCCCCCTCCCAGGAGTTTGCCTTGTTCATAATTTAAAGGAAGTACTCTTGCAACATGACATTAAGGCTAACCACACCAAAGCCAGCTGGTCTCTGTGTTCTCTCATGACTATTAGGATAATTGTACTTGCTAATTCACTGTTTGAGCCTTGGTGAAATTCACTGAAGTGATTCCTCTTAATCATCGCAAGTCACCATCACCATTTTGTCTCTAGTGTCAGACTCAAATTCCTTTGAAGCTCTGATGGTGACACATACACACCTGTGGTTTCGATTGCAGCTTAACTGTTACCTTCAACAGAAGACCAAAGTTATGCAATTGAAATATTGGAAAAAACAACCCTAAAGTAGTGGGAAAATGTATCTGATCCTCGTTTAAACCATGAAATTTTATTTTAATTCAAATCAAATTATCTTTCAGACAGATCAGGCTACTTAAGGATGCCTAAAAACTTACCAGAAGTGCTAACCACACCCTTCCAGGTCATGAGGAAGGGGATGGAGCAGCGTGACATTTATACCACACTGCCTGTAATATGAAAGAGTCAGCCATATGGTTGGTGCAGATCAGAAAGTGTCAAGTTGTCATTTCAATGTTGAACTGGGTTTTATGGAGATAGCTTAGTGGCTGCTTTGGGAGTTTGATGAGAACCACAAAGCCTCGTAGAGAGCCTTTGCATGTGAGAGCTCAAAGGGGTAATATCCAGCCAGCAGATCTAAAGTGTAAGCCATTAGTAAGCGAGGCCAAGCTCTCTAAGAATATTTTGGCCATTAGCTACAGTGTGGATCTATCTGATTTCAGTTTTAACCTCTAGTTTCCCAAAGCAGATCTGTCTGTTTACATAATGCATTTACACTGATGTTATTTCGCTGATCTAATATTTCTGTGAGCAGAAGTGAATGTCCTCTTGCCTGGGAGAGAGAATGACCTCAAACAATAGACCACGCACTATTTCTATGACCTTCCAAACATCTCTGAATGGTACAAACCAATCTCTACTCTGAAAAGAAGTGCAGTGTGAACAGACGTAGAAGCAGTTGTAATGACAAACAAAAGCACTGGAACTCTCTATAAAAATTTTTTGTCTTCTTGTAATGAAGATGAATTTGGAGCATTGTTAGAGCTTCTGAGATCTTGTTCTTCAGATTAAAAATGACTAACTCTAAATTTATTTCCAACACTGCAGCGTTCAGTGAATGATATATTATTGTTACTAAATGAGAGCACAGGAAATACCAACATGTTTTAATTTCAAGGGATTTTTTCATGAACTCTTTGAGAAGAAATACCATATCTGCAGAGCTCACTGCTGGAAAAGATCCAGAGAGTTACACTGTTCCTTTCAGATGCAGGAACACACTGCAGTGGTTCAAAAGCACTGTGCGCCACAGCCCCGAGGAGCTTATTCCACTTCAGTCCCTCTCTTGCCTGGGGAAAGAAATGACTGCATCCCTTAAACCCTGGGTAAGCTATCAAAGCTTAGGCATGTGTAGCCTTTTGTACTTTTCTTCTTCTTGCATGGCTGCTCTGAATCCAGAAGAACAAATGCACAAGAGGTTAAACCTCACCTGTGAAGCAGACCCTAAAACCTCAGCACTCTGAGCAGTGAGACTGTGATGGGTTTTTCACCTCTCTGTTCTATTGTATTTAGATAAGGGGACAGACCAAACTCATGCTGTGAATGCACACTATGCCTCAATAGGCACAGTAAGCTTACAGCTTAGTGATATTTGTTTTTCCACGGCTTTATAAATGTGCCAAATCAAATTTTGTAAAGTGGAGGTAAATGTAAGAGAACTCTTGCTGGCAAAACTGAAAGACTTACATGCCAATGAGGAAGTTTAATATGCACTAAAAATGAGTGGAAACAATAAGCATCACACATAACTCAAGAATGAATTATTTAAGGATTCTCTTTTCCCCTTGGTGCTCTGACTTCTCAAGAAAAAAGCAACAAAGAAATGTAGGCTAGAATATTGGGGGAGCAATGGGGGGGAGCAGATAGAAGCAAAGGGGTGATAAGATACTCACTGTGGCACAATTATAATCTGAACAAAGCAGATGAAGAGGAAGACTAGGGAGGCACAAGCCACATAGGCTCCGAATCTGTCGTCCACCTGCTTGGAGTACTGCACAAAAAGCAAAGTGTTACATTAGTGGAAAAATTGGCTGCTGCCTTCACCCAACCAACAAACACTTGTTTCTTGGCTTCCATTTAGGTTCTTGGAAAGAACTGCCAGTAGGAAAAGACTAAGACTACAAACTCCCCTGGTCCCTGGGCAAGCTGTAATGGTTCAAACCCTTACAATATTCCAAAGACCAGGGAACAAATCAATACAGCTGGATAGAGAGAGGGTTCAAAGCCTGGTCCTTGCATCAGAGCAACAGAAATGAGGATACTTGGGACCAGGATAATAGGTCACTATAATCAGACATGAACTTCTTCTATGGGAAGCTTCCTCCAACAAGGATGAATGCTGCTAATGAGAAAACCTTGTTTTCTTTTGTGCAGACAGCTTGGCTCACTCTAACGATAGTGCAAGGATGCTGTGGTTTTCACACAGTCACTCTTTCCAACTACTTGTCAACATATCAGTCACATGGGAGCTGCATCCAATTCCCAAAGATGCTTTCTTTAGCTTGAAGCATGGTTCTCAGTACAAACGGTCTCAATATATGAACCACAAAATGAAAGGTGCTGAGAACAGGTGAACTGCTAATTTCCTTAGCAGTTTTCAGCTATAAAATTGAAGAGGAGTGGGGGTAAATTACATGCTTGTGCTTTTACTTGATCCCACACAGGTTCATTGAATAGCTATAAGTCCTGCGAAAGTCTGTTTTCACAGTAGGCTGCAATTCATTGAATTTCAGTCATTGAAAGAGTATTTCTACATAAAACGAAATAAATAGTGCCAACTTAATTTCTGAAATCTTATCCATTAAATGGTGAGCTTAACATGGAAACTGCTCAAGTATCCCAAGGATCTGCGCTGGGATGAAAAAAAAAACAAAAACACAAAGATATCTGAAAGCCATCAGCTATTCAGGACTCCTGGTCTACTACTCTCCTCTCCCAAATCTGTGTGAGTGAGAACTCTAACTGTCGCTTAAAATGGGTTCCTAAAGACAGAATAATGAACCTCAGTAGCACTTATGGCTCCCTGGGTGGCAAGGCATTACCTTTTTCTCCAGGTCAGGCTCCCTGAATGTTAAGAGAAACTTGCGCACGTGCTCAGAGCGTAATCGGTCAATACTTCTGGCATCAATGGCCCGGCCCAGAAACTCATCCACTTCATCTTCTGGGTTCATACTTTCCTGTGTATTCCTGAGGATGTGGGAAAAAAAAAAAAAAAAAGAAAAAAAAAAAGGAACATAAGAGGGTAAGATAATTGCCTCCTCTTAACCACATGTTATCATCTGACTCTATAACAAACTGTGGGTTAATGGCATTTTGCTTATGACAACTTTGAGCTGGAAAATGGATTGTGAGCTGAGAGGAAAATTAGACCAGCTGCACTGCGCACTGACAGCACGCCAGTGAAAGAATTTCATTTATTTGCCTTTTTTTTCTAAACAACCTCCAAATCAAGGAGCTTTCTTGCTTTGGAGTCTCTTTACTGTGCTTCATCCTCACAACTAGGCTGTAATTCCCCTCCACTAGTCCTTAGACTTAGTCTTCCCTGCTGCACTATCAATGATCTATGTAACCAGCCATATTCACTGCTTCGCTATAATTGTGTCTATAATGATGTTGGATATTTCAGGTTGGATATTAGAAAGAATTTCTTCATAGCAGGAGAAGTTGGCATTGGAACAGGTTGTCCAAGGAAGTGGTGGACTCATTGTCCCTGGAGGTGTTAATGGAAAGGGTAGATGCAGTACTTAAAGACATGATTCAATGGGCAATATTGGTGGTAAGTGGATGGTTGGACTGTTAGATGATCTTAGAGGTCTTTTCCAACACCAACGATTCTATGATGTCTGCAAAAATTTCAGAACTTGAATAATTCTCCATTACTGAGAAAAAAATTGTTTACAGAACAAACCTTTGACAAAAACAAACGTGGGGAAAAAATGTGGCCTGACACCCCACTGCTTCCCTCATGCAGTTTTTATGAGTAAGAGAAGCAGACAATATTTCCTGTTTACAAGATACTTAATTCACTTGAGCTAGGGAGAAGGTAGCAAAAAACCCTCCCCAACATAAATTAGATTCTGCTTTCCAAATATCTGGAAGATTTTAAGATTGCTTGTAATCTTTGTTGCCGTTTTGTTTTTGATGCTCATCTACGGTTTTTGAAAAATGTTAAAAAAAATAACATCAAAAAATTAATTGCCCCAAGGCAATTTGCACATGCAGTCAGGGAACCTGAAGCACCTCCCAAAAATTTATTGCTGCTTCTTAAAATTTAGTCACTTGTTGATGCCACTTTAATGGTCTGCCTTAAAACTAGCCATGGGCAGAAATTAAAAGCGCATTCTGAAGTGCTGTTTTTCTGTTCTGTTTACATGATTGCCAAGGACACAGAAGTTGCACAGGGGTATATTCCAATGGACAGCTATTTCTGTGTGCAAATCCCACGGTGGGAATGCAGCTTCCAGCTCATGTTGAGTGACCTTCACCTTTGGCACTCTGGAAAAAAGTCCCAGGCTCTGACCAGCAGGATGGGAAGCTGCAGTGCTTTCTGTTCTGAGTTTCGTTTGCACTGCAGGACAGGGCACAATGCCCAAGGCTGCTGCTGGACTTACTGGCAGGGTTGTGCTGTGAGCAGAGGCTGCTCAGCGCAGCCTACAAACCAGAACATGATGCCATGCTCAAGGTTGAAGGCCCCGTCTCAAAGGAAAGGCTTTTTGCTGGACATGGCAGGATTGTAGAGGCACTCTGTGCCTCTGCTCTGCCATGTACCTCTCACCAAGAGAAAGGCAGACCAGGCCTACTGGCTCGTTGCCACCTCTCCTGCCCCTGGCCAGCCAGGCTGCTCCAACACGTTGGTGTCTCTCCACGGCCATGTGGCAATGGCAGCTTGTCCACCTTGCCTTGGTGACTCACTACTGCTTCACCCAATCAATAGTTCAGTAGGGTTGGAGCAAAACAGTTGTTTTTATTTTTGGCCTGTAGTTATTTAGTTCCTTGATGGTCATGTATTCCTCTTTGAAACTATAATGAAGTTTTGTTCCCTAGAAGGACAGGAAATTCAATTTACTTCCAGATGCTCCCTTGGAGGAAGCACGTCTGCTTAAGCAATCAGCAAGTGGCTGCTTACTTTTCAGCCCGTCCTCACAAGTCTGTCTTCTGGACCCATAAAAAAGAGTAAGGAAATCATTACGGTTCATATTTACAGAATGTCTTCCAAGATCCTGCGAGTTATTTACACACGTGGGTCGTTCACATTCAGTCATTTCATACACGTATGAGAGAGGCAATACATTTTCCTCCAGAACTGGAGCAAAGAGTTGGCTCAGCATCCTCGTGAACCTCAGTCACATTTCAACCTCCAGTTGAACAGCAACATTCAGGAGGATGTGAAGAGAAAAGAAAAATCTGCATAGGCTTTGGTCACGGCTGTCTCCAGTTCTGTAACAGGTCATCGTACTGCGGAGGGCATTTCTCATACTACATCTTCTGTGGTTGCAGCTTATGTAAACACATTTCTGCAGTTTTTAGGTGACCTTGCAGGGATGTTCATTGCAAGGTAGCCACACTCGAGCAAACAGCAGGGACGCCTGATCACCTGCACATACTCTGCTGGTGGGGCGTCTGCTCTGCATCCTTGACTGTTGTACCCCTATTCATTACTGTACAGTAAGTCTGGGTACATCTGCATGAGTCCTGAGTCAAAAGAGCAAATGTTCTTGTTCTAAGGAGAGCCCTGAAGGCTGTGCTCCTAAGTCAGAGTGGAGCTACTGCCATGGAGTAATGAAATTCATATGTGGAAATGCGTTTTCATATATTGATAGTGTGTGAGGGGAAAAGCAGAGATTTCAGGCCCCCAAGAAACTTTCAGAAACACCTCTTAAAAGTGCTGTTGAGATCTGTACAAAATGCAGCCAAAAGAAAATTGTTACAAGGGATGGGAACAACATGAACAGAGGTGGGAGCAGCTTTTGCACTCTGCTTGTGCATGTGAAAGCTAGCAACTGACCCAGAGAAGTTGGCTTCAAATAATCCAAAAACATTCTGCTTATTCAGTTACTTCCTGCAAATGAAGAGTGTGAGAGCGTGACCAGAACTGCCAGAACTACATATATGCCATAATTGTAAATGCCTCATGCCTAGGTTCAATGACTACATCTTCACTCAGGCGAGTGTCAGGTCCTGTTCTAAGAGATGCATGGTGCCTCATCCTTGCTGCTGGAAAAGAGCTGTGCTTTTGCATGTGAAAGCACAGAACTGAGTGCTTGGTGTCTAATTTAAACAATGCCATGAACATTTCCTGGCAGAGGTGGTTTCTTTTTAGCCACATCTTTATCCCTGAATTAAACAGATTGCTGGATCAAGAGAATCTAAGGCAATTAGGAGATTTTTTTTGTGTGTGTGGAGCAGGAGTGAAAAAAGCCTGCAATCTGTATAGTAAGATAGGGGCACACTCAAACAGCACTAGTAAATACAGAGTAATCCTTGCCAGCACTTAGCAGCTCAAGTAACCTTTTCAAATTGCAGGATGGAGGAGAGACATGACCATCCTTGGAGTACCCACCTGTGGAGAAACCATTCCTCACTCACTGAGTGACTCATCCGTAGCCCAGCACCAAGGCAGGAGAACTTATGTTCTCTTACGTGAAATGTAAGGACAGACCCTATTTCATGAAGAATACTTAAAAATTTCTGTATTCCTCACAATTATTTTGTTGCAATCTGTTAGATCTTTTTCCTCCAAAATATATCCAGTATCAGTTGAGTACACAGCAGCCATGGACACAAGATTCTCCCCAGATACCCTGCACCACACCGAAACATCTCATGGTGCTCAGTGGTAAATGTTATTAAAACAGAGTTTGCAGTGAAGGGCAAGAGGAGGAGAAGATCCCAAGTATTGTCATGTCCAGTCTTACCACATTCCTTTACTTCTAGGGAGTTGCACTCAGTGCTCAGCCATCATAACGTGAATTTCCCTAAAGGCACATTATTTAGGGCCACAGAAGCATTCAGCTGCCCCAGCATACACAGACCTGCCAGGTCCTTATTGGCAGCCTGAGAAATGTGATAAAGAGCAATAGCAACGTATTTCAGGCATCAGTCTCTTCTACTGTCACCCGTCTTGCCCTGAGCAAGCTTACAATCAATGCCATTCAGTCGTTCTGAACAAGAAATAATTATAGACACCCTCACTACAAGAAATTTTTTTTGTAATGTCCAGCTGTGGAAGTGAGAAAGGGACTATATTTTTTTTTTCTTCCTCCAAAAGAGATTTTTTTTACCACCAAATACCACTCATGTTTTATCACTATTTTTGCCACTAAAAAAATTGTTAGATATGAAATAGATCAAAATGCTGCTCTAGCTTGCTTGCATTTTACAGCATGAAATTATGAATTCACCTTTTAAAATGAACTGTCATTTCTGCGTTTACTTTTGCATGTAGAAATTAGTACTATGTAATAATTAGAAGTACATACATAAGAAGCACTCAGGAACTATATATGTCATTTAGACATACATAATTTGTTCTTATTGGAAATGTTCAACACTGCTAGACACACTTTTCATGATGATTTTGTTCTTGGGATATTGTCAAAACAGCAAACACTGAATAACACTGGGTGGGGTGGGGTGGGAAAGAGCAGCAAAATGTTTTAATTCCAAATGCCAGCTAGACTCAGACAAATCAATAAATGTTTTGAGACAGTGACAGCTCTGACTGCACATCAGTCAACCCCGTGTCCTCAGACTGGCTGTCCCTACAGGAGAAGTCACTGGGGGGTCCAGGCACTATTGGCTGCTGGGCACTAATTTTTGTCCTTTTGAGAAGAAAAAAACAACCAACAACACAAAACCCACAAACGTAACAGCATATGACAGAAGAGAATTTGCTTACTTGTCCTTGGGATCCTCAAAACCCTGTAAGAGAGGAAAAGGACACAAGGGTTAGGAAACAGGCAAATCTTAAGAACTCAAAGCATGCAGAGAACGACACTGCAGAGGAGTTTCCGGAGCATTCACTGCTAGGTGCGGATGGAGAGCCTTACCAACCCACGGCAATGTTTGTGCTGCTGTGTCATCGGGCAGACAGAACAGTTTTAGAAAAACACTTGGCTTTCAGTATAAATTTATGGAAATGGAGATAAGAGAAATGCTTCAGCTGACTGCTGGCACACGTTATTTGAGATACAAAACTCTGACCGCTAACATGGGACAACCACGTATTTAATCCGGCACAGCTGCACCTCTTTATTTCAGCTGGGGATTGGCTAAGGGAGCCCAATGCATTTTGCTTTATATTTTTTCAGCAGGAACCCCATAAGAGTCTTCTTCCATCTCCTCATACTGCATGCACACACAAAAAATGTGTTTCCTTAAATAAGACTGCAGAAATTGTAATTTCTGTGTGTAATAGCCAAAATGTTTCACAATTCCTTTGGGGCCACCTGAACTGAGTGTGTGTATTCATGGTCACCCATAGCTTAAGTGGCTAGAAGGCCCCAGAGAAAAACGTATGAAGGCACACACACTTCTATATGTTTAGTATTACCATACCTAACAGACCAAATACCACAAAACAGGACATTTTGCATGGGATGAAACAAAATTTCTCCTCTGAAATCTTGGCTCGACTTTAACTGAAGTTAAGAGAGGTTGTATACTTGACAAGCAGGGTCACAGGCACAGGGTTTGTACCCTGTGTTCCAAAACATAAGAGAAATGTAACTGGGAGATATGCAACTTTGCTTTTGTTTTCCTCCCTCAGGCCAAAACCGCTCAGAGCACATGAAGATGTTCCAGCTACTGGACCTGCAGCTGCTCCCGGGTTGGGGGAGCAAACGGAGGCCTGCCTGATGCTGCATGACTACAAGGAAAAGCCTTTGGGCAACAGTTTTCACACAGCTGTGTTGTGCGTCACCATCAGCAACAAGAACACGGACCAGATTCTAAAGGAGAACAGATTTTGCCCTTGCGATGAGTTAGCAATGTGGTGGTACAGCAATGGGCAGAAGCAAAACCAACACAGCGACCCTGGATGACACCAACTCGGCAAGTGGAAAAAAGAGGTCCTGGTCCCTCAGGTCAACAGGCAGGACTGTGATTCACAGAGAGCTATGTCCATTTTTATACCCTCCGTTTCAAAGTCAAACCACACCTCAAAATAGAAACTGCAACTCCGACTTAACCCGTCCGAAATCCAGATGAAGGAAGGCTCTCAGTGCCATGTACTAACCACCAGTGGATTCAAGTGCAGTGGGAAGAAGGAAACAGTAATGTTGATTCAATGTTAACATGTGCACTTGTCCAAGCCAAACAAAACATGTACTTTTGATTTCACGTTAAACAGTGCTGAAGGGATCATTCAGCTTCTTGTTGTGTGGCTTTTATTTTTTTTTCTTAATCATTCTACAGTTGTCAAGAATATCTGATTTATTTATTTATCCTCTAAGCAATGCTAAACTCAGTGCCAAGAACGAAAGCTCACTGATTAATCATGGAGACAAAATGCTTAGTAATTTGTCTGGTGTCATAGCCAGTTAGGCTGGAAAAAATAAGAAAATCAGCTGAAGATGGATAGCTACCAGCCAACAAATGAGGGGGAGAGAACTGATGTGAAAACAGACAGTACTTGCTTATTAGATAGACATCAAGTTCACATTTTCTAGCTTATCCACGTGGGAAATGGATGACTGACTGCAACTGGAGCGTCTCCTAAAATGGTCTGATTTTCATGGACTGCTGAGAAACTATTCATCCTACTGATGTCCTGAAACCAAACACAGATTTCAGACTCCTGCCTTCTAGGTGTGCATGTTTGGGAATACAAGCCAACAGGTCAGTTTACAAGAAAATCTCAGCAAACATATCCTCAGTAAATGCCACAATACTTCAAGCGTGAAAAAAAATGTGGGCTGCATGTTTAGCTGGTCATTGACCAGGGTGAACACTTCAGCTACACAGAACTGGATTCTCCCCTGCCTTTTTCCCCCAGCAAAAACACTGTAAGTAAATTCTCTAAAATAATACAGAATTAATTGATTTAGTTCTTCATTTTTAAATACTAGATCGTACTTGAAGCCCTAGAAGTTATTCGTGTTGGCAGCTCAAACAAAATTAGTGCTTTAAAATTAAAACCTCACAAAAAGCCTATTTCAGGTAGAGCAAAAAAGGAAATGATTATTCTATGTTCTTTCTCAAATTTTCCTCTAACAGTATCTAAATATTTAAGAGTGACATGAACTCTAATCAGAGAGAATCAGCTTACAATTAAATGTAGTAGGAACCTCTCTGAGTTAAGCAAATCAAATGATTCACTTCAAATGTTCCCATTTCGTGAGAAAGATTCTTCAAGCAGAATTTCCAAAAATGGAATTGTTATGGAAAGAGGTCTGCAAGGTTATTTTAGGAAAAAAAATAGTCCAAACAAAAAAAAACAAAAAAACCCATAGCTTCTTAGAAACCGATAGCATATAACAGGAGATCTTTCTCCTTTGCATTGAAACACTTTGCTGGGAATCAGAAAATATACATCTCAGAGATCTGAGACCAGAGATTTTTTCCCCTGGTCATTAAAGCTTCAGCCTCTCAATTGCATGCCGAGAACACTTTTAAGCAGGGAGATGATCATGTGCACAGTGTCATGCTGCTCACCCTCTTCAGGTTGGGAAGGAAATTTCCCCCTGGGCTCTGTCTAATGTGTTTTCAATTCCTCCCACTTTGTGGGCATGCTTGGTCCATTACAATCATTTGAAAATGGTCATTTAAATTATTTCCTTTCCCTTGCACAAAGCTTGAGCACACTGGTCTTTTTCCATTTCCACTGCTAGCAAACAGTTTCATTTCTTGATGTCTTGGATGCTTTCCTCCAATTAAAATCCTTTGGCTCAACACAGGTCTTGTAGGAATATGGGCTACAGTAATTTGGCTTCACTCCTAAAGACTAACACACTCATGGCCTAGGAGACAAATGACCACAAATCACAATTTCCTCACAGCATCCCTGTTCACCTCTACTGAGATGAGCTCAGGGATCTCTGCATGGAGTCCCATCACGTGTGCACAAACACCTTCAGGTGAAGGAGCTCAACAGGAAATGAGATAATGAGCGTTGCTGCTGCAAGCAGCCCTGATCTCTTCTGCCCATGCTGCTGGAGGCTGGGTAGCTGTGCTGGGCAGTGCAGTACCCAGCCTGTCTGGGTATGGAGCAGCTTTAAGCTCCTCAAAGGTACACCAAGATTGGCATTTCTGCACACACATATACAGAGATCTGAGCACCCAGACAAAATAGCTGATAAAAAGCATGTGCCCACCATCTATGAAAGAGGGAATAAGAGGGTAGGAAAAGAAGATGTCAATTCCTGGAGTAGAGTATATAAATCCCCTCTTGATTGCTCATGGACTTATGCCCAGCAAGCTGAAGCAGTACCAATGGCTTTCCAGGGTGCTACAAAGAAAAGTCTGGGAACCGTCAGCAGGAATGAAAATGGCAAAAGTGGTGATGGCTACAGGAATCAGACAGAAATGAGTTCAGAGAAATTCAGGAATAGCTCCATAACCACAATGACGGAGTAGCCCTTGTTACAGTCAAAATTCTTTTTCTCTAGAAGGAAACCCAAGGCATGAAACTGGTCAATGCTAAAGGACCTCATGCAATTGTTATTCAGGCACTATTTTAATATCCCTGATACTGGGATTTTTCCCCATCCCCCAGGAGACTGCATTATTCTGCCATCAGCCTGCAAATGAAAAGGTAAAAGTATTTAATAATTGCTTTGAGACTAAGAAAGTTCTCTCTCCGAATTGAGGAACATTAACCCAAACGTAGCTATATCAGCTCCCATACAGGCAATAATACCCACTGATGAACTGTCTTGCTCTTTTTTCTTTTCTACATGGGATTATTAAAAAAAACCCCAACTATGTATTATGGCAGGTCAGGTGGCTCTGAATTTACAAGCACTTACTTTTAATGACCATCCTCTGTGGGAACTGACGTGCAGGAGAAAAAAAAGAGGGAACGTGATATTACTGAATCTGTCCCAAAAGCTTACAATTTTATGAGGGATATTTTATGGAAATCTATTGCACTAACAGCTCATGTGACTGCTGCCTCTCTTCTTGACTTCTAAATTAACTAAGCTGTTTTCTTTGAAGATTAATACAGATTCCTTAAATAGAATAATAAAGCGTTTGTCAAAGCTGTGACAAGCTGACTGCTATACCATAATGCTTTGAATCAAGAACCATGAGAAATAATACTTCTAACTTTGAGAACATTAGCTGTAATTATTAACATATTTTAAATACGCAAAGAAAAGTGGAGTAGACTTTACACCATTTTAGCTTTTCATCTAGCTCCAAAAACAAGATAATAGAGGAGCTGATGAGCTCTGTGACCTTTTTAATAACAACGTGCTTGGAATGCACAGATTCCACCTTAAAAGCTTTGCTGGCAACTCCAGTAAAGATTGCCAGGGCAAAAATGTCAGAGAAGCTAATTTTGCTTGCCCTTTGCTCATGCCTAGCACAAAGACCCAAATGAATGGGACTTACATGAAATCTGAAGTACTGCAGACTTACAAATCAAGACGACAAAGTGAGGTTTGTAAGGGCTCATGCCAACTTGCAAAGATGTTCCACGGTAACAGAGATTATGAAGACGTACATGGAGACAGAAAGGCAGAGAGTGGATGGAGTTAAAAACAAACCTGCTATGGCTCCACCACAAAACTAATTATTCACCTCCATTTATCAGATTTTCAGTACTGTGTTACATTCTGCCTTTGTCTCTGTGGTCACCCAGACAAGGCTAGGAAGGCAGATGCTGTTAGGTATAAGAACGGAAACAGAACTGAAGGACTTTCAAGCACTCAAGCCAGAAATAATGTAATTTCTATACCAGACTCCAGAAAGTACAG